ATAAAATACAATTGTATAGATGCTGCTAATTAATTTTAAAATTAATATTGTGACTCTTATTAGCCCTGTTTATATATTTAATATACTGTTTTAAAGGATGTTTTAGAAACATTTAAGAATATCCATTAAGCGATTTGATACTACAATCTTTTTACTTTGAGAATACGATATTTTCGTCGTAATAATCACGATAATTGACATAAGATGTACAACCCTAAATTTACTATTGAAGCTTCAACATCGAAACTGTAGCCCGTTTAAATTTCTAGTCTCTCATATTATATACCTTTGAACGTCAAGCAATGTGTGTTTATCTCCCCATGATGCTTGTATTCTCTACAACGACCAGCGATTTTCTATAGCGTCAAATTTACACTGTATTAGCATGCACGTGTTAAGACACTGACGGCGTTTGGCGAACGAGTAACTATATTATAGACCTTCGCCTCGGTTTCTGCTCTGCTCGCATCGTGGTCGAATCTCGGATCTTTCTCTCTACGCCTTTCTTTCGAGCGGGAAAATGGGTGACGACTTCCGTTCAAGAACTTGTGTATGTCTGTATGTAAAGTTAATGATTTTGTGAATTTAAGTTTATGTTTTGAAAACATATTAAAGAAATTTTAATTTTCTATTAACTTTTACTTTTATATTATAATTTAAACTATTATTATTAATAAAAATTTAAACCCAAAAATTATAGTAAAGTAAAATTATAGGTGAAATAATTTTTCAACATAAATATATTAATTTATCATGTCGTATACGAGGTAATATAAAAGTTACTATTCTACACATAAAATTAATTATAAAAAAATTATAATTAATGAATGTTCTAATAAATTTCTAAATCTATAAATTCTAATTAATCTAAAAAAAATAATTATTCCATATTCAGATAAAAAAATTAAAGATTGATATTAAATGCGATTTAAGGAATGCTTTTATGACAGTCAGCGAGAAATAAAAGCTGATCCGACAAATGAAATTATAATTAATACATCCGAATATTAAAAGAATGTCAACGCACATTTTCTTTGATTTATTTAAATTAAATATTAATATTTAATGAAATTTAATTCTTATTTTTTTTATTCCTTAATACAATTTTAATTTTTTCTAGTACAGTTCCAACGCGAAGGAATATAAAATATTAAAAATGTAAAGATATTTAGTAAATAATTATTAATTGAAAAAAATTTAATTAATTTTTAAAAAAATGTTCTAGATTAACTTTTGTATAAAATGTTAATATATGTTGTGTATATCCGAGCAGAATAATCAGCAGAATGTTAGGCTGGAAAATTTCTTAAGTAATACATCACGTTTTTTTTATTTACACAAAAAGACATTATTTTTTCGTGGACTTAAATGCACACGATAAATTAAAAGAGAGTATTTGAATTTGATTAAGAATGTTGAAATTAGTATAAGACTGACAATTCTTACAAACTTTAAATCTTATGATATTTATACACAATTACTTATAAATTTATTTTTGCGTTGATATCAAAAGGAAAGATACAAATATCTTTTTTATTTATTTCTCAATCCATGTCTTACTTTTAATAGCTTCTTTATATATATCTATAATTTGTATATATAAGCGTGAATAAATGTTATCAAGTGTGAAATAGTGTTATAAATAAAAATGTTGAAGCTTCGACTGCAATATACCATATTATATCACATTTTTATTAAAGAGAAATAATTTTTGTATGGAGGAAAAGAAAATATGCGCTTTTATATCTCAATATATATTGATAAAGGCCATGAAAAGTCGTGTAACACGCAACAAGAATCAAATAAAAGCATGTGTTTAAAGTCAATTGAAAGTTATCACTGGTTTCTACATTGATTCAATAGCCTCAATAAATGCTTTCTTGAGTGATGTTACGACGACGATTATCAGCGAGATCGCGCAAACGTTGTATAAACATTCTAAAATAGAAATCTCGTTCTAACTCTAATTTTTTAATCCTACAGAAGAGAAAATCGATTTGTTTAGTCACTTGCGAATTTTCTTTTATTTTTTTATTTTTTTATTTTTTTAGAACATTATAAAAACGTTTTGTACATATAAATTTATTTTTATTTGTGCTTTAATAATTTAATTTAATTTGTGCGAAATGTAATAAGATCTCTGAATGAGGAAAAGAAAATATTTTACACGTGAAAAATTGATTTATTTTTCATTTGTCAATGTTTATCAATGCTTTTCCGTGTGTAATTATACGAGTTAATATTACAGTACTTCAAATCACAACAGAAACTTTCTTGAAGACAAAATTTTTTGAAACGTCAATATGAATATTTATATTTGTATAAGAATATAATTTAAATTATGCTAGGAATTTCCACACGATTTTGACAAAAATATTAAAAAAAAAAAAAAAAACGTTCGAGGAATGCGCGAAAAGGAAAACGGTCGTTGAAATAGGAGACCACGAGTTCGCGAACGGGTTCGTTAAACTCCCTTAATGTGCCCATCGCGAGCAATTGGCAGTTTACTTAATCAGTTCGTCCGCAAAGAGGGTGGTAATTAGTCACTAATTAATAGTAGTCAGGGGGCGAGAAGAAGCAGGGAGATAATAATAGCCGAAGTAAGTGCTGCTTCTCATGGATGATAGGGATCGGAAATTTCTCGCGGAAAGAGATCGAGACTCTCGTTAAATCGCGGATCGTGACGAACGCGCCGAGGAACGTGACGTTGCGAGGGGAATGCGTTTTATTTAGCGTCAAATTGGGCTGGGAATCGTCGGATTATGCGCTACACGGGTTTAGTTACATGGCTTGTTAACGTAAATAAACGCGCGAAGAGATGGACTTGCTCGTGCACGAATGAGGAAATGAATACCTTGAGAAAGAATGGAAAACGCGTCCGTTTATCGTCGACCTCTCGCGTTGTTGTATAAATTAATCGCTTGATGAAAAAGTAAATGCAAGCCGAACACGTGTAATTGACGCATTCCTTAAGTTCCTTCATAACCGGAAGATGTAACTGTTAAGGTAATGCGCCAATCATATTTGTTCAGTTAGTTCTTTCTTCGTTTAGTTAGTGTCATTAATTCTTTAAATTAAATTTGGTTTAATTTAATTTTAATTTCTTGATTCGCAATTTCGATTGCAAAGTCACTTTATTTTATTTCATTTTTTATTTTAATTTTTATTTTTTAATTAAAACTTCAAAGTTTATTTGATTTGTGTGATATATTTGATATATTTATTTGATTTGATTTATAACTTTAACTTTATATTTAATAACACTTACTCACATTTATATATACTTATATACATACAAATGATGGATGCATGTATATAAATTAAAAGCCATTTAAAGTCACAAAAAATATTTTATGAAATAAATAAAGAAAATATTTATGTCTTTTTTAGTATTAACGCAAAAATAGACTTATAAATCTGCGATTTATGAATTTACAGGAATTGAATTTAATATAATTAATATTTATTTCTCTCTCATTATATATAGACATATTATAAAGATTGTAAGAATTAATATTATTTTCTTTTATTATATTTAATACATTTAAAGGTAAATAATTAATTTGAATAAGCCATAAATATTGTATTTTAAAATTGTATCTTCAAATTTTCAATTGCATTTTTAAATCAACTTTGATAAATCAGAGAACATAAGATTGCACTCACCTTTCGACAATAAAAACATATTTTTCATTTCATTTCAGGAAATTAATTATACCAATTATCTTTTTATTCTTGTTCACTATAATTACACATATATTATTCATGCCATATATTTTTACGATAAGAGATTATATGTGTAATATATATTAAATGTAATAAAGCATAATTTTTGCAAAAAGCTTTTTTAAAAGGATACAAGGATTTTATACAGACGGATCATTAAGCTATTTGATTATTTTTAAGTTTTGATAAAATAGTAAATTGCATTTTTGTTTTTTCTTTTCTATCTTTGTAAAAATTCTAATCATATGGAAATTTCAAACATATTTGAAATTAAATCCTTATATAAATATTCACGATTCCAGGTAGTTGATTATATATCGCGCTTAAATATCCGCATACTAAAAACCTGGTATTAATTATCATAGGATTAATTCATATGTAAATCTTTTTTTTTTTTTTTTTAAGAAGAAAAAGTCTGAAAAAATGTCCTGAGGCACGAAAAAGAGAAGCAGCGCAAATAAGAGCAGACGAAAAGATTGAAGATAATACTCATTCACGCTTTTTTATATCGTAACAAGCACGTGACACATAACGGCTCCTAGAGAAATTGCTGAAATTCCAGAGAAGATATCGAAAAGAGCAGAGAGAGATATATATTAATACCGCAACACGTCGTACGTTATCTCCAAATCACTGTATTCGCATTAAATTATTCTGCATGCCACGGACTGTCAACAGAATGATTTATCGCTCTACCGTTGGAATGGTCGTATAAACCTCGGAAAAGGTATATTCGCCGAGGTTAATATTAATTAGTATTCCTTTTTTTCCCTCTCACAATTTTACTTTGGATGGTACAAACAATTTTTTTATTGTTAAAAAAGTGATATTTTAAAATTATTGTTTCACACGCAAACTCTGTGTATTTTAGAATTTACCAATCAATTTTTTTCTGAAAAAAAAGAAGATATAAAATATATTTTATCTCGTTCCAGAAAAGTTTGTATCTTAATTATAGATGAAATTTACTTCGAAATCGCTCTAGATTTTGCAATTGATATTTCAGGTATTTCCTCACAGCAGAAATAATTGCGGAATTGCGTGCGGCTAATAACCTGCCAGGTAACCGCGTTAAAAACACAACATTCCGAGTATTATTCTATGACAATGTGCAGCAAGATGCATAGTTATTTCGAGTTTGCATTAGCTGTATTGCTATGTACATAATTCGTTTTTTCAGTACAATATTGTAACTAGAGATCTTAAATTACTTTCCCCATTTGTTTCTCTAAATTTTTTAATTCATTATATAATTAGAAATTTAAATTACATACCTTTCTTATCTTTTAGCGTCCAGTTTTCATGAAATTTCTTCGATAGGCATTCGATTCAGACGTAGAACAGTTCGTGTTCTCCATGTAATCGGCACTCGTGTTTTGCAAAATTGATTTGAAATTTTAAACACAATTTCAGGCACGACACATTTCTTACGGAAAAATATTGTCATGCACGTGGCACACATTCAATGTCGATCCGCTTTCACTGTGAAATGATTTAAAGGAGATAACGGAGATAATCAAAGCTATCAAGAAATCAAAATTCCTAAAACTTTATCGCGTATACGGAAAAACAAATATAGTGTCATGAAAAAGTTGAAACGACCACTATTATATAACTCTCGAGTATTTCGAACCTGCAATATTGAATTTCATTAAAGGAAATTTATGAATTATTTGAAAATTCTTTATTCGAATAATTTCGATTCGATACAAATGGACGAAGAAATTCTTCCTCTTCACAAAAATTTTGTACTTTATTGTCGTTACTCCGATTAAATCTGAGCAATCCGATAAGATTGAAGATTGCCATTGCTTTCAATTGAAGTATTTATTCTAGGATTTTTAGATGCACTCACATTGATTAGATTCTGTATTAAGTACTTGAAAGATTGACTTCCTTTTCGTGCAGGTCGATCAGCTGATTGCTTGCTGATGCTGATTACAGTCGCCAGAATGTCAAACACACCGATTGTATTTAATTGTACTAATTATTTGCAATTATTTCATACATTATTTCGCTTAATAATACATATATATATCTGTTGTTATCATGAGTTTTATTAAATCGCTGCGCCTAAAATATTAAAAATATTAAAAAAAAATTTGCATTGTATAGTGTTACTAAAAGCGCATAACTGTAAATATATTAAATAATAAATAATGAATGAGAAATCATAAATAGTAAATAATTAAATAATCAATAACCAATAAATAGTAAATAAATATATACATTAGATCAAATAATTAACTGTCCAAAAAATGTGTCCCACATACTTACAACAGATCGTTTTAAAGAGAAAGCTACAATGTTTTCGTAACATTTTTGCATCTTAAGAAAGATCTCTGATGAGAGATTGATTATTCGCAGATAAAACCTGATAAGACTCGATATTGAATTGATATTGAATCGTAAAATTTCCTTGGTATCGCCTAAGTAAATTCGACATTTCACGCGTAGCAACGTAACATAACTCGGACATCGCAACACCTGTTTATCAACGTCCACAATATATATGATACGAGAACGCAATAATATATATTTATAATAAACAATTTGTCGCAAAAAAAAAAAACAAAAAAAAACACCAAAGAGATCACGCTATACGCGTTGGATTAATCGGGGGATTCATTTTTGGAGAACGCGAGAACGAGGCACCAATCGGAGGCCGGACCGCGAATGACAGGTCGGCTCGCTCGCTCGCTATCAATGGGCCCGTTGACGTGTGATTAGAATAAGGTCTTATCAGCGTGAGTGTGCGCGGGGTACTGAATCGCGCAGCGGGGTATATCCAGTGTCCCCCAAGTCCGGGGCCCCTCCTTACCGTTCATACAGTGTTCAGAGTGGAGGGACAGACAGGTGCCTCGACTTCTGTCTGTCTGTCTGGGGCCGCCGCCTTGGCCGCTTATTCACATTCGCGGTTAAGCGGTTAAAGCGACATCAGGCATCTGTCAAAGATTGAAAAAAGATTGGAGACCAATGGAAGGATCAATCGGATTTTTTTCCAAAATTCGAGATCTGAAAACAGATCTTTCATTCTGAATACATTATTTTTACATGTATAGGGATTTTAATTTCTTCTCGCTCGTTATATTATTATTGTTTCTATGTTTGTGATCTTGTCAGGTTTGCAGAGCAGCTACTGTGTTTCATTAAACTAAAAAAAAAAAGGATTGAGAGAGAAACTTCCCTCCTTATATAGTATGCAAGATTAATACGATGCTTATTTAATTTCTCTTTTTATATAATTTCTTATTTAATTTCTCTCTTTCTCTTAATAAATTATAATGATTTTTTTTTCCAAAATTCGAGATTTGAAAAACTGTTTCTATGTTTGTAATCTTCTCGGGTTTGCAAAGCAGCTACTGTGTTTCATTAAATTAAAAAAAAAAGGATTGAGAGAGAAACCTCTCTTTATATAGTATGCAAAATTAATAAGATGATTATTTAATTTCTCTCTTTTTCTCTTAATAAATTATAATGAGGAGAGAAAATTAATTTGTTTTTTGTCCTAAATATATTTTATAAGTATAACTTTGCAATTTTATAAAAATCTACATAAATTGCTATTAATCTGCAGCTAATGGATTTCAAAGTAGGATCGTAATTTAAGATATTTCGCCGTGTGAGCACGAATTTTATCGATATAACTTCACCTTTCAAACATTACATTTACATTCGAGCCGTGGTAATTTTGATTTCTATTCTCGCACCGATTGGTGCACGAATCTCTATATGAGATAAACTTCGGAGAATCAACACGTTTTTGCAAACATGCATAATTAATGAGAAGCCGGAGAGAAAATGTGTTAATTCGCAAATTACATATCTCTTCTGCTTCAATGGATTAAAGTATATGCCGATCGATAGCGTTATCTCTCTCATAGTAAATTGTCTGTTTAATAAATCAAAATTAACTTAAACGAAGAATAAAATAAAATCGAATAAAATAAAGTCAGATGTTGCTAGTGGGAATTTAAACGACGAGTTGTTATTGTTCTTTTGGAATTAAAGAGAGAAGCTTCTCGGACGTTTTAACACTTGCCGTGCAATTAGCGATTGCCTTCGAGCCAGCACAAAACAATTCTACTATTCTTCTAGGCTGATCAATAAGCATATATTATAGAAGAATCGATTTGCGCAAATTCAATTGAATGGTTTAAAAAAAGGAATATTTTTTGATGTATCGTAGCGTTTAAGAGAAAAGTAAGATCGCGCACATATGTACTTTATATAAATATTTCTTCTTATTTCTACATCAAAAAATTGCATTTTCAAAGTAAAAGATTTAGATACTATAAAATTCCTCTTAACAGATATCTGAATATCTTTTAAATTAAGAATATACCTATTCTTTATTAATAACGAACGGCCGTATGTATTTTTTTATCTTTCTTTGTCTGCGTGCTGTAAAATAATATATTTTTTGCCAATATAAAAATAAATCTCTCATTTAGTCAACATTTTATAATACAGGTAGAAGATCCTTATGGCGCTATTTTCGAACAGGATATTCTAAAAATAAATGGAAAATTTTTCGGAAATAAGAACACAATTTTTTTCAATATTAACGTTTATCATTCTCTTTTGACAAGTGTTACAGCATAAATGAATATCTATCGGAAGGAATAATTATGTTCCGCGGAAAGAATCTTACGGCGCCAGCAAAGAATCTGACACGTAAACGAAGCGCACCTGTTTTCATATACACACATACATATGTATACACACATACACATATGCATATGCAGGTGCATAAGCGATGCGCCTTATTATCCTCATTTGAAGTCTCATCGTACGAGTCATGCGAGTTAAACCTGTTGTATCTTTTCCGGATCCGGTTCCGCGGTGCGGCATTCCAAAATTGAACAATCGGAATTTGTAACTTACAATGTGAATTGCGACGAGAGATAACCATGATTTTTTCTCGCTGCGTTGTTATTCATTAATTTGTAATTAGTACAAAGTAATTTTACCGACATTCTCGAATCGATAATTAGGTACAATAATCTCTTTTTTATATTTTTCTAAATGGAAAAAATATAACACATATTCGTTATCATCAACAAATAGAAAAACGAGAGAAAGAGTAAAAATCTCGAAAAAAACGCAGATAAAAGGAAATAGAATACTTTTAAATGAATTAAAAAATGTCTAAAAAAATTATTTCTTGCCTGTATGATTAATATATTTATTATAAATCATAATCTTTTAACTAGTATAAAAATAAAGACAAATTTTTACATAGACAAAAAAATCAATATCTTCGTAATCAAAGCAATTCTCGAGAAGGAATGCAAGATGCAGTTTACGGAAACGAAAAGGTTAATGCTGCCGCAGTCTTTCTCTTGTTCTGTTTTTTTTTTTTTTTTTTTTACTCTCCTTACCTGTCAAGTGTTAACGGTCCAGGGTCCAGCTGACTGGTTTAAAGACCGCCGTGAGAAGAACCGCGTTTCAGTTATGTCAATTGTCGTTCAGTATAGACAGCTAATAGCCACCTAACGTTGAGATTGGTATATATAATTGGGGGTAGAGAAAGGGACCAGAGACATGTCGGGTGTCAGAACTGAAACACATCCTCTACAGCGCCTAAATCCGTGAAAAAAAATTTATATGTAATAATATAAAATTATATAGAAATATATAAAATTATACGTATAATCGCAAAATTATATATAAAATATGTCCATACATAATTAGATAAAAGTGCTTTTTATAATTAGATAAAAGAGCCCGGAAGAGTTCCGCTTAAGTAGATATTTACATATACGCGCACATACACGCTTAAATACTCGATTAACAATTTATTACGATTGATCCTGTGCTTGGTCCAAAAAAATACGAGTAGGGTTACATACCCTTAGATTATTTCTGACAGAAAAAAATTTATTTGTTAATAAACAAAGCCCGGAAGAGTTCCGCTTAAGTAGATATTTACATATACGCGCACATACACTCTTAAATACTCGTTTAACAATTTATTACGGTCGACTCTGTGCTTGGTGCCAAAAAATACGAGTAGGGTTACATATATATATATATATATATAAATTTATATAATTATATATAAAAAAATATATATGTTTCCTATATAATTTGACGTGATTATATATAAACCCTTATAATTTATATAAATTATTTATATAATTTATATAAATTTATATAATTATGTATAAAAATGGACATAGTTCACATATAATTATATATAAAAAATGTTTATTTATAATGTCATTTAAAGTACCAATCATCAATACCGCACGTCACAAGGCAAGCAAGCCCTTGTTTCTAATAAATAAAAATCGTGCACGCTCTTATTTAAAGCAAATATAATTTATGCGAATAGCCTTCGATAGATGTTATTCGATTTATCTTGAAAATTTCTCGTTCAAGTTTCCAAAAATATTTTTATTCATTAAATTATGAGAAACGCGCGTTAATAATGTTGGAGCTGTATTTTATATAAGTGTTTTATTTAAAAAGCTGCATTGTTTTCATTTCTTGAGAATTAGGAGTAGAGAATTATATAATGCTATGTTTCGAAATTACTATTACTTAAAATATGATTACATAATATGCACGCCTTTTTTTAAATGTGAATAGTAAATAGCGTTTTTAATTACGAGAAAATTAAAATTTTTGGGTCTAACACTATTATACTTACGGCGAGTAGTTAATAGCACGTCATGATGAGGATAATAAGGGCAGTCAGATATTTGATGTCGGTCAAAAAAGGCTGTATTTTTTTCCAACGTATTCGAAAGGTATATAGGAAGATTCCGCCTAAATTACTGTGTGATACTCTAAATTGAAATCAACAACGTCTATAATTTAGTTGTCGAGTTTGTATGCAAAATTATGTGTTTTTAATTCTTAATTAGTAGCTCTAATCTTGCGACTCATCATTCAATCTATTATATTTATATATATTATGTCTCGTAGTTTACTTACAGAACATTGTAGAAACAGCAATAAAAAGCGACATAAGTGATTATTAGTTTAATATTTAAAACTTGATAATATTATTCTATATAAAATTATAAAAAGTGGACAAAGCGCTCAAACAGATAAGGAACTTGTTCGATCAATTCTATGAATATATGTTACAAAACTCGCGTTATATGCGGAATCACAGAATTACATGTCTCATTAATAGAGAGAAGTATCTCGGATCTATAAACCACCGTGTTGGCTCTGGAATTCACCTGTCACCTTTTCATGCAGTCAGTTTAACGCATCTCACGAATGCATCTTTCTTTTCACATTTACCTCCTGTCATTCAAAAAGAAAAATATATCATGCATTACACGGTTGTTAATCCTATTTCTCGCTTCTCTACATTTTCTGCTTATTAACTATCGGTGTTTGCTGTCAATCTCTAAATGCTAACATTCCGAGAGAGAGAGAGAGAGAGAGAGAGAGAAAAAAGAGTTTAGTTCGTACAAATTGATAATCATTTTACAATTAAATTAAATGCCAAACAAAATTAAATTATTCTTTCTATTCAATTTATTGATTTATGATAATAAATATACGAAATTTTATAAATTATAATATTCTTTTTCTATCGTTTTATTCATAATGTTTAATAAAAACACATTTAATTTAACACATACATCTATAAGCATTTAATTAAATTGTTTTATTTTTGATATTTATATTATTTATTTCTATAGTTAAATTAGCATGCTTTTTATCATTAATTATTAACTTATAAAAGTGATATATTTAAAACCAACATATTTCATTGTATTGTTGGATTTCGATAATTTAGAGATTTGCTTCGTCGACAGAAGGGTATTACCTATTTGTGATAGAATGGAATTCTGCTTCAGCTCTTTCAGAAGAGACGAACAATTCTCTGAAGATAATGAACGCATTTAACAAACATTAATAAACATTTTTAAATTTATATTTTTAAAATAAAATATATTAAAATAATTTTAAAAATATTTTAAAATAAAAAAAATTTTTTAAGTTCTATGAATAAAAGAGCTGAATATAATAATTAAAAAAATTATTTATGAATAATAACTAAAAATAAAAAATTCTGAAAAAATATTGCACCTTTAAAAATTTTCACTTTATTATTTTTCTCTTCTTTATCTGTATTATAATTTAAAATTTTACAAAAGTTAACTGTCATTAAATTTAATTAATTATTGTTATAACTCAGTATTAACTTTTACAAATAATCATTGTACAACTAATAAATATAACGTATATAAAGTAATTATTTTTTTCAATTTTTTTATATTTTTTATAAATCAAACTTGTATTATTGAAAGAGAAAGAAAGACCAAAAAGATGAGAGGAATATTTATTAATTTAACTTGGTCAATATTTACAATCGAATAAATATAAATTCTCAAAAAGATCACTTTGCAACATGTTTAAAAAATCATTTTGATTAAACTCTGATTAATTTAACCGGCAAATTTAATTTTGTTATGAGTAATTCTAATTGAACTAAATATTTATTAAATTAATCAAAGTTTGATCAAAATAGCTGTAATAAATTTTGTAATATTTTAGTGGACATTGCATAATAATGAGAACTTAATTATTTTGATTACAGTAAATTATTTGTTGGTCCCATAAATATCGATTCATCGGTTGTATCAAATTAATATTTGCTCAATGCTTTAGATGGATTTGTATATTTTTATATAAAATAATATCATGTTTAAACTTAATAAGCTTTTGCTTAAAATCGTATATGAAAAATGAATATTGTTTAATGAAAATTTATAATTTTGTTAATTTAATAAAAATAAATATTTAAACGCTTATGTATTTCCTATTTTTAAGCATTCCAGCTATTTATTTTGTGTCTTTATTTTGGTCTGAGCATAATTGTTTGACAATAATGTTATAATTATTTTAACGATTAATAATCTATGATTTTTTTTAAATTTTGAATTCAGATGTTTAACTTTCGAAGATATCATACCTTCTTGATTAATTAATTCTATTACTATTATTGTCCCTGTTGCAGTACGATTACAGCAAATATTTAACACACATAATACAGATATATGTATACATATATATATATACGCTAACAAGATTAGGTATTCCATCTTTTAAAAAATATCATGATTAACACTTTCATTATTGTTCCTATTTTAACGACGTATTTTAACAACTATAGAATATTTGCAAATGAAATGGAGATTTATGAACTAAATTTTGAAGAGAATAAGTAAAGGAAGCAAAAACACAGATATGCGCAAAGTGATAAAAATGACAACATGTCACGTACATACATCGATTTTACAACATATTTATAATTTAAATTTATAACATATATACAACATAATTACTTTATTCTAGTACATACAATTTCAACGTGCACGAAAATTATAATAATGAAGAAGAGGTTTATCAAAAAGACTTATTAATTCTTCGTGGACGCTTGAAAGATTGTAAATTATTTCGGTGGGAAATCTATATAGATATAGGAATGCACAAAGTTTTTTCATTCATAATGGAATTACATGACTGATCATATGTTCTTGACATATCAATCGGAAAAGATTGAATACTCACAATCAAAAATAAAATTTTAATGTCAAATAAATAAGGACCGCGCGTTTCGAGAAATATTTTACGTGTGTGCAAAATTAAACGTCAAAAAATAAAAAATTGCGTTAACGTCGCTGCACACTTTTTCAACGCCAAACGTACAACTTTCATTGCACAATGTACTTACAAGGATATTTTCTAAAAGGAATTCACGTAGTAACATCGAGACGGTGCTCGAGGCGAAAGTGGCACAAGGCGACACACAATACTGCAATACATCTATTATTATGCTGCTAACATGCATCCCAGCGACCTGCGACGACTAATTTCTGACAGAGCGGTTGTTTTAAGATGCGTCTCTTTACACGGAACAAAAAGGAAGAGTGTCGTAATCGACAAATGGTCGGTGAAAAGATTTCAATGTACGCACGCATTATTTTAGACAAAATTACAACGCGTTTCTCAAATTATATTATACGCTGGCAACAATTTTACGTCCAGTTTTACATAATAAATTACTTCCTCGTAATAACATACTGTAATATATAACATATTAACATTCGCATATATAGTAACACGTGTGATCCTGTCCAAGGAAAGGAAGCATATGGCGATTGATTTTATTTTTGATAGGAACAAGTTTCGAAGAAATTGAGTCTGTGAAAAATCAATTTAAACATTTTAAGCCATAAACTTTCCATCTTTGGACAGAATTATTATGTCTATAAATAACAATATAACAAGTATCACGCATTTTCAACTTCTATCTTTATACATTACGTTGAGCGTTTACGGGATTATAGCTTCAACGGAGTATAATTCGATAATTAGGTATCGATGAGATGTAAAATATTTGTTGATTGTTAAAATATACAGAAAGCAGAGAGATATCTATACAAAATAAAATATAGAGATAGAAGGATGAGTTTTTAAGGAAAATATTCCTCATAGAACCTATTTATGAATTCTTAATTCGACACATATAGCAATACTCCATTTAAAAAAAGTAATAATTGTCAAATAAAAATATCAAAATATTATGTTAGAGACAGAAACATGACTATAAATAAAATATTTATCAACATAACAAGCTTTCGAAAACTTTCATTTTTGAATCGCTTTCGGAACTTCAACGTTATTGCACAAGATGATAATTTTTCGTCGCCTAACGTTACTCGCTTAACTCTACTTGGTCCTCAAAAGTCGCTGGGACATAAGGAAAAATCTCGAGCTAAGATTGGTTGCAGGTGGCAGGAGCCAGCGATCTACAACCGCGAGCAATTTGAGCGCGCCATCACTTCGTAAGTGATTGCTCCTCTAAAACCTCATTAGTTCTCAGTTTGATCTCTTTCCAAGAATACTGTATGTCCTTGCTCTCGCTGAATCGAGAGCAGACAGCGAATCGTAAGAAATACGTGTCTTTTATCTTTGACGGGACGAGATGGATATTTCCCGCGCCATTGATTCGCTTTAGGAGGATTTCATTCAGTTCGTTAGAACCCTGTAAATCGTACCAGAATTATCTCTCTTTCTCTAAGTGCGATTTATATAAAATATAAATAAAATAGTTTTGCAAAAAATGCATTTTATATGCAAAATATAGAATAGTTTTACATTTTGTATTCCCATTTTAAATGCATCTATTTCAAATAATATACAATTGTAATCTCTGATTACAATAAATTATAAAACACTAGATATAGCATTGTATTAGATATTATTTGAAATGCAAAATGTAAAATGCACCTGTTGCACTTTGCATTTAAAATACATTTTCTGAAAAATTTCAATTGATTTACCTTTAATCGAAAGCAGACCAGTCCCATGAGAACTTCACCCACAATTTCGAAACGAGGATCGGAGAGCACCAACGCTTCAAATTCGTGCGCTTGAGCGATATGCGATCTTATGTGGTTCTGAAGGTTTTCGACTCCGTATAGCCTTAAAACGAACCAGAGTTTCAGAGCTCGGAATCTACGGCCGAGTGGAATTTGCCAATGCTGTAACAAAATATATACCGACTAATTAATGAGTAGTACTTTGCACAAAATCGTTTCAAGTAATTTCACATCAATCAGCTCAAAGGATGTATGTCAAAGATCCGCGTTACATGTTAAAATCAATTTAAGCGAGACTTTCGAAAGGTTACCCTGTAATCAGGTGCCGAACCCTGCATATCGTGCTTCAGGTACAAGGGATCGACATTGAAGGCGTTTATGACGTATGTCGGATCCTTGAGCCACATTGTGGAACAATCAAAATTAACTAGCATCCATTTATGAGGGTTAAAGTTAAACGATTCCGCCAGCTCGATACCTTTCATAAGGTATCGATATTCTGGACAAATAAAAGAAGATCCTGCAATAAAAATAGATTATTATATTATTATTATTATTATTATTATTTTGCACATGACAGTACACCGAAAAAATTATATTCTCGAAGTAAGAGGAATATAAAATCCCTTTTTTACCAGGTATTCTAAAAAACAGAATCCTGCAAAATTAAGAACATATTCTTTGTCGACAATAAACGGTCGTATATTTTTTATGCGGATTGTTGATTTGACGTTATATGATCATATCGTTGCAGCTATATATATAATTATATAGTGTTGTAATTCACAATTAGGAATATCTGACATTAATCTTTAGAGGATTTTCCTCTTAAGATAAGAGGCTTATTTTTGAACAAGATATTCTAGAATAAATGGAAAATTCTTAAAAAAAAATATAATTTTTTCCGTGTAGCGATAATAAGATTGATTCATACCTGCATAAGCAGCATCCACATGCAACCAAATGTCTTCACGATTCGCTACAATGCCCATTTCGTCGAGACGATCGAAGGCGCAATTAACGGTTGTGCCTAAAGTAGCGACAGCCTGAAACAATAAGACAACTCTTATATATGTATAAACTCAAGAGATTAATATATTATAATTTATATATAATTTTTAATTTATTGTCAATATATATATAGGTCGCTAGTAAATCAAATAAAAAATACTTTGGATTTAATTGACCAAAAACTAGCAATTTTATTAGCTTAATAGTTCACTTGGTGAACTAAAGTTTTTGGTTTTATAATTTATGGATTGGAAGTATTTTTTATAATTTATTGAATCAATTATTCTGGATCTAATGTGTGTATTAACATTTTTTACAAATTTTTAGTATAAAATTTTAATCATCGAGAAAAAATAGAAATTATGAACCGTGATAAATTGTTCGAGAATATCGGTTAAGCTGGACTTACGTAAAACGGTATAAATCCTTGCTCCTTATCCTTTCGGACTGCCTCGGCCATCGTGTCACCCCGCAACTTATATTTCTCGTCGACTTCCAATTGTCTGAATTTTACTCCACCGAGGAGTCCAGCTCGTTCAACCGAACTGTGCGCTTGACCTAAAGAAAATATATCTCGTCACAAAATTAATCCGATTAAATTATATTAATTATCTTTGACTGACGAAAAATTTACAAAATTATTTTAGATGCAGCCTTTCTCATTTTATTTTTTTTCGCTATTATATCGAATTATTTACATGACCGCAACGTTAATTAGCAATATTAATAGATTTACTATTTATATATATAATGTCAATATATTTAATATTTATGGAAATAATATTTAACTTGCACAGATTACTAGGATCTGGTATTGTATGAATAAATAGATAAATTTTATTAATTATTATCAATTGTAAAGTATGAAAGCATAATTGCTTCTTCAAATTATTTTTGGAATATTTTTCAACGAAATGTAATGTTTCGTAATTTTTCAATATCTGTAATTGATAGCGACGAAGGAGAGAGAAAAATTGTAAACATTTTTCCAATCATTATTATAGCACAGAAGAAAAAAATACTTTATTCTCTTTGAACAATGGGCGATCCATATAGTTTCGTTCGAGATTTCTAATCAAAAAACCAACTCATCTATTATAATCGTCGACGATGAACTATATATATTTTTATTCTTTTATTTCGATAGAGCTGCAAAATTATTGTGGGAATTGAGAATAGTAGAGAGAAAATTCGGTCTGTGAAATATAACTGGAGCGGTTATTATATATACGAGTTGCCATGGCGACAAAGTGCTGCTTGATGAAGTACCATGAACTACCCCCTATATTCACCCTATCACTCCATTCACCCCCTCTCATTCCCTCTATTCACGTGCCTTTGAACTGATTGCGCCTGGTCACTGAAAGCGACCGGACACTTTTCAGCACCTTGATACGCGTCGACGTAATGACGTAATGTAATAAACACACGAATGAAAAATTGCATGAAAATTATCAAACAATGATACACTATGTTAATCGTATAAATAAATTATCGTATAAATAAAAAAAAATTAGTAAGTTTATTACTCTTGTCATATTCTGACAAAGAGTTGAATTTACAAATTTTAGGTAAAACTATCCATTCTGTTACAAAATCCTTTTCATTCGCTGTAATAATATATGCATAGTTTAACGAACGTATACGTAAATACAAAGAATTGTTTTAAAACGTTCGAATAAATTTACGAATAACACGTCATATGTTAAAGAATTAATATACATATAAAAGGCAATAAGAGCTAATTAAGTTCTGTTATTAATATTTATTTGTGGAAAAAATTTTTTTTAACATAAAATATTAGACAAAAAAGTGGCGAACTTTTTTGTCTAAATTTTACGTTAAAAATTTTTTTCCACAAATAAATATTAATAACAGAACTTAATTAGCTCTTATTGCCTTTTATATGTATATTAATTTTTAAAGAGCTGTTACAAATTATGTTAAAGAATTAATTTAAACGATCCTTGTAGGGATTTATTTTGAAATTTTATAAAACACTATTCTCTTCTATCTTTATTCATGTATCCGTTGCTATTATAAGTTAAATGTGACTCGCATAGCTAATTCATACTCATCGAGGTATATGTCACAGTTCAAGTGTCTATTAAAGCCATTGAATTTTATGCATAATTGAAGACGTATTCTCTGTCGTTTTTTATTCGATAAAAATCAACAAAAATAATTGACTGAGAAATAATTTATATGATTTAATTGATACTTTATATGTCGATATTTCATGTATAAAATTATTTTTAATTTGAAAAATAGTTTGAACAATAGCTCGAACTGCTTTACACAAATTGTTTTTGACAAAATGCTGCTAATTTATTATAAATTTTCGCATTAATAACAAATATTATAACAAAATGATTAAATATGTACTCACAGGAACAGTATGCGACTAGCTTGCTGATGATTTGGTTTTCCGTCCAATCGGGATGCTGCTCTTTAACTTGCTTTATTTTCCTGGCCTTCGCTCCCAGTAAAGCTACCAAAGTAGCTTCGCTAGCAGTTCCCTATAGGTGAAAATTGCAATTGAAAGACATTTTTAATAGCACCTTTGTTCTCCTCGCGAATGAGATTGTATCATCTAGTACCTAAAAGCAGCTTTTACAAATGCAACAGCGCTTTCAAAATATTGTTTACCTGAATAACGCCACCACCTCTTCCGCCGCTGCAAGCAAGAAATTCTTTCGGCAAATCCAACATTTTTCCTAACCAATCTAACATTACTACTTCTAGTTCAGTACAAGCAGGACTCGCGATCTAAAATTGAGGAAAAAAATTACGCGTTAAAATTAACTACAAAGACAATGCGATGTTAATTTTAGTCTCGGATTTCTCTCTCTTTTCGCCTTTCCATCAGTTTATTATAATATAATTTATTAGAAGAGATATTTTATTATGTTTGATATGATCTTAGCTGTGTGACCGACTTTTTGTTACTCTATGGAAAATTATAAAGTAAAAGTATAAGAAGATAAGAATTGTGTCATCAATAATATTGCAACATTTCTACGTCGCAAGATAGAAAGATGCAAAACTCACAAGTAAATTCTCAAGATATGAGAAAAATATTTAATCAGAAAATGTTTAAAAAGAAAATATTTAAAGAGAAAATATTTAAAGAGGAAATATTTAAAGAGAAAAATATTTAAAAGTCTCTAATTTTACTTTCTTATACTTACCCACGTGAAACCGATACAAGCAATAGCTCCACTTAACATATCGGCCAGAATCGCTGGATACGATTGTGCCGTCGGAAAGTACGCATGGAATTTTGGACTATGCCAATGAGTAACCTAGAAACAAAATTGTTGCTATAAATAATATAATATAATTTACAAAAATATAATTATATAATTATAATGAATTAAATAAAAAATATAAAAAATAAATCATAAAAATATTAATTATATTTAATTATATATATAATTCAAACAAAATTATTTATGCTAATCTAGAACATTTAAAATTGCTTACACCAGGCATTATTATTCGTTCGATGTCAGTCATTATATCTTTCCATTCTTCAGGGGTATTCGGTGCCTCGGATGGCAAAAGAGGCTTCATATATCCCGGTTCTACCGTAGGCAAAACTCTTCTGTCTCTAATATTTTCTAAATAATTTGTAATATATTCCGCCATATCTTTTGCGTAATCCTTGAAACTGTCAGGATCCATGATTTACTTCCTATCGCCTGTAATATATATTGAGACAAAAATGATTATTGATAGAATATAATGATGTCCAAAATTGAATATGTACTGTTATTGATGAGGAAACTGTAGGACAAAGTGATATACTGTGTGCAGTTGGCATATCAGTTTGTTCTTAGGCATTTTTTTTGGTTTAATCGTCAGAACAATTTGTTTAAATCATTAATAATTCTAGTTCTGTTGAAAATAAAGCCAGTGATATGCTAGCTTTACGTAAACATGTAGTAGGTGTGGTTCTGACATCCTTGGCGTGTAAATATATGCATATAACATGCACTTTGAATGAATCTAATACAGGCATAAAACTCGTAGAATTCTTATTTCCTTTCAGGAATAGGCGTTTGATTACAGAATGACACCGATTCAATTTCCGCATATTACGTATCAAAGATTGATATAGATAATGATAAGAATCTTGCTGACATCGCAATATCCTGCAATAATAATTTATAGAAAACTAGTGAAATATAGATGAAGTTGTTTTGTCAGATTCAAGGAGACGCATGCTAAACTAAAAACTGTGGTTGCCGATAAAAAGTGAAAGTGATACTTGTTGCTAGTTTCTGTCTCTAGAATTAATGAAATTGCTATAAGAAATTACATAAAATAACGCACCACATTTTTGCATACGTATGCGATTGCATATGTTATATAGGCTCAGTATCGCTGATTTTAACAAGTGGAATGATTAAAATTATTTTATCCAATATATAATACATATACGTCAAATATGCGAGAAAATATGAAACAAATGAATTATCATTGAAATAAATAAATAATGTTTTTTAATCTTTATATTTTTTCTGTTAACAATTATTTTAAAAAATTATTAAGTACTCTATATATCTTCTTTTTCACATTTACTTTATATATATTATGTGTTCGTTCTTGAAACTATATTTAATAAAGAAAAACTGACAACGTAAAAGATACATTTACTTTATATATATTATGTGTTTGTTCTTGAAACTATATTTAATAAAGAAAAACTGACAACGTAAAAGATTTATCACGTAACTTAAAGTGACTGACGTTTTTATTTGCGTCACATCCTACTTTCCATCATTTTCGCGAAAAAGTACATGACGATAGAGAAATAAAATATATACATTTAGCCTTTCGAGCAAAATGCTTAACAAGTTAATCAATAATTAACTACGCCTCCAATGACGTAGGTCTTGAGAAACTCAGCAGCAAGAGTGATCGTTGTTGGATAGAATGTCTCGACGAGATCGAAAGTGGTAGGAGAAGGACGACGAGAACGAAAGAATGTTCACGCGACGATCAGCAAAAGATCGCCTTCGTAGAGAAGTAAGAGTGAATTCGTCCGTAATGACCATGACTCATTTTCATTGAGGTTTCGTTCGGATCGTTGTTTATCTCTATCGTGATTTTTGTCTGCCACGATTTTTTTTAAACTTGCTGACCTACCCATGGAATTTCGCAAATTTTAAAAGTACGGTCGCACGAATAAAAGTTGAAATTTTTTTATTCTTTCGCAATACTTACCGTACGGCTCGCACGTGACGAATAGAAGATATTTCCGCGTAGATTTTTTGCTTTTGTGTCATACTTAATATTATTGTTCTCATTTCAAGAGTATTGAGTCACTCTTAGGATAAAGACCTTAGCATAGTTAATGGAGAAAGTAATAGTGAATTTTGCGTAAAAATGTCATTATGCGAAAGAGCTACTTACACTATAATGGAATTTTATTTATTATTTTATATTATCATTTCTTATACATATATAAGATTATACAATTTGTTTGTTATGATTTTCCGGTTTATCAAAATTGTGAAATTTAATTAATCATAATAATTAAAAATTGATATGGCTGTATATTATATATTATGGGAATACCTATATTCTATATTATACAGGGAAATACCCGCGGAAATGATAATCAGGGTTTTTTTGAAAATAATTAACTATTTCCGAAGCGCCTTGACACGTGAGGAAACGAGGATATACAGAAACGAATGACTCCTCACGCGATAGAGAAAACTCCCGCGGCGCTCTTGGGAATCCCCTCTTGATACCTCTGACAGCAAATATTTCTTCGAAGAGAAATATAAATGCGTCTTCCGCATGAGTACTTTATAGATTACGGGTCGTATCAAACTATTTTTTTAACTGAGAATGTTTATTATAGAACGTCATATCGCGATTAATATGTTTGTGAGTTTGGACGTTGACAGATTATACTATCCTTTGAAATTATTACATGTATCAGACAATTGTTTACGTATGCATATATACGCGTATTATCTATTATTTTCTTGATCTACTCATTGAGAAAAAATTTGTGCATAGACTTTGACTTGTATTTTTCTCTTTCTCTCGCGTTATATACATTAAATGTGATACGTTTAGATTATCAACTGTATTGTTGAGTTATAAAATATATTATTGTATATTTCATAAAATATCTGACCGATCAACTGTTCTTTTAGATTTCACGAAAGGATATAAATAAAATGTCAAGTTATCAAACCATCTTTTATCATTTATTTTTTACGAATTAATTAATCGGCATTGCATATTTTTGTCATACGAAATATTTTTTCTTATATTTCTGTTATGATAATCGCTTATATAATTTTTTCAAATAGTTTCTTAAAATTCTATACTATATTTTCATGCAAATGACAAAAAAACCTATACAGAATGTTTAGCAAAATTACAAGAAGGCTTGGTTTAAATTAATATTACAGATAAGAGAATCAGCTTGATTGCGTTTATCGATTCTTCTCTAACGTATCAATTATCAAATTAAATATCGAATTAATTATACTTATCACGCACAAGCATATTATGTTGTAATGCGGGGAAAACTTTCGATGAAATATAAAATGACATTAAGTAAAAGTGCATATCTGAATACTTTTCGATAAGGAAAATGATAGCGCTCTATCTCAATAGTATATCTTTCGCTTATTATAAGTGTTTTCCCAGATATCATTTGATATTCTTCTCTAATGATTTGCAAATATATAAGAGACCGTGTATAAGAGGCCGAATAACATCGCAAAACTAAAATATACTCTCGGGATGTATTTATGTAGATGTCAAATATAGCGAGAGTGAGCGTCGAAACGTTCCTTATTCGTATAATTATATCCAGACAGCTTTATTTATAACGCATATATACATGAAAATAGCTCGAGATATTAGATAATCTTAAAGTAATATTTAGTTCATTTTCGTGTAAAGTTTCATCGTCGTTTTTCTCGAGAGCGTAACAGATTAATTCAGCGAGCTGATGCAATTATAGTGTGCTCTTCGATCTCTACTATGTCGGAGCGGAAAGCTTAACTAAGCGAAAGCTCAATAATTAGCTTTAGACCGTTGCGAGTTTAGAAAGCTATTATATATAGTTCATACAGATATAGATCTTTTACAATTTTAAGCATTTTTATCATAAAATTGTCGTTATGAGATTTTTTCTTATTTTTGCATATAAACAATTTATCAAACACAACAAGAATATTGATATTTTTCTCCAAATTTTTCAAGCTCTTTTGATATATTACGTTACATTACAAGAAATGAAAAATGTCAAGAGAACTAGATTAATACCAGTTACAAAACTTATCGCGTGAGCATTTCTTTATTAATTAGTAATTAATTAAATTCTAAATAAAGCCGCAGTTATAATTGTTACGAAATAAAGTCCAAACTCGACTCACCTTTTGAGTATTGAGCGAGCCTGGATTCGCAGGATGATTCCCTCTCGTCGATATATCCACGTGTCTGCGGATGACAGGTCTGCGTTCCCGCGCGACGATGATCAGCTGGTATTCCACGGTGGATTGCCGCTCCGTTCGCGTCGCGCCGCGTTTTATGTAACACCCCACTCTTCGTCGTTCGCGAGCGGCGTGATTGTGGTCGCATATACGTCGAGATTCGCTTACCTTGTCCCGTTGCGTGTACCGAGGACCAAGATCGATAGCGGATATGCAAGATCGATAAAACGACTGGTCACTCTCGACTAACTATGTAGACCGCGCGTCAATTTTCCTTCTTCTACACGTTGACAAAAAAGTGCGATTTGATTTTATTTGGTTATTCAGTTTTTGTTTATATATGAAGATTAATGATTGAATAGATGATGAAGTTATTTGGTTCGCGATATCATTATTTTATCCTCAAGATTTTTATTTAAACTTTTCATGACTTTACACGAGAGATGTGCTGTTTAATATTACGAAAGAAGTGTGTCAGACTGATGAAATCATCATCATTAAAAAATGCCTCCTAGATTTAATGATATCATACATAATGTCTGGAAACTTGATTTGGCACACACATAAATTGTTTTATTTATATTCGTTGTTTTAAGTAAACTGTTGCTGAAATGTGTTATATTGGATAAACACCACGTAACATGATCTTTCGCCTTAAATTATTCTGTCAGTGGATCATTTGAAATTTATGTCGCATAATATAGTTTAAAGAGTTTCTTTAAAATAATTATAGTGTATGCTGCAAAAAGAAATTTGATCAGCCTACCAACAACAGAATATTTTAAGGTGATCACATTTAGGCAATTCGCCCCGTATATAGTTTTTAATTAATTTCTTCCAAGATAATGAAACAAATGGATTACGTAAAGAAAGCGACATCGCGAAGTTAAAGGGGCATAATGACATCTTGAAGGCGAAATTAGGACGTTTAGAGCGAGTGCTCATCTACGATTTGATTACAGACGCGAAATCAAGGAAGCATTCAAGTGACAAGTGATCGAATTAGCTCTGGATAAGCTCAATTCTAGTTTCCAATTGTATACGTCCTCCTCGCCAACGTCAGAAGAAATACTTGACACTCACAGGTTCTGGCACAAGATCTTAGGCAATCGTGATCTAGAAAGGAATCTTAGCGAAAACAATCGTCCTTTCGCAATACCTTAAGTAAACGAAGGTTACTTCACAGGAACTGAACAGAAAAGTTTCCTCGGCTTTATTCTTACTGAATTCGTCGTAGCACTTTACACGATCAATTGCTTCATAATTGCAAAAATTATCTCCGGCGAAGAAAGAACGCATCTTGAATTTTATAATGTCTGTACAATAAGAAAGAAGTTTATGAAACTATTGATTTCATGCATAAGGGCGGATACTTATTTAAATGTTTAGAAATCTACACATGGCATTAGCGGATGTCTATACATATATTGCACTGATTGCATGGGTCATTAGTGAACACGCATAATCATTACAGGAGCGCTCGAATCGAAAATAATTATATGTATCAAGTGTTATATCTTATCTTGATTACATATTAATTTAAATCCTGCAAATATGTCATAATGTAAATTATTAAATTGTACTACTGAATATATTGGGCAAAAGTGAATAAAAATATTAATTATAATAAAATAATTTATAATTATTTCTTTCGCTGTTTTTGTTCGGACAAAACTTATTTCCATATTAAAACAATGAAAAAATGTTACGTTCAAACGCGAATAAATTATGTCAGAAGAGACAATAAAATTTTATAAAATTTTCATTTACTCGGATAAATATTCCTATATATTCTGACAAAATGCGAAAGTAATCATTTAATATAATAAAAGATTTGATTTTATAATAGTATAAGAAAGATGAATTCCCCGAGCGCAGATGTTAATTCATCTGATATGCGAAACGGAGGACGGGAGCAATTCGATAATAATCCTCGAGCATAAGAATGAAAGTAAGAAGTTCCTCGGTATGTTCCCGAGAAAAACCCATTTCCTTCCCTATTCGTGAGAAAGGAAGAGGGATGACGACGAGAAGGACGCGCTAAGAGCGGTCGACTTTCCTCTTTTCGAGGACCCTCGCTCGCTCGGATTTTCTTCCTCCTCTTTAACCGTACTTTAACTCCCCATGCCTCTTTTATTGCCGTGCTCCTTGCGCGTCAGAGGAAGTTGAATCTCGGAAACGAATGTACTTTTTCCTCGGTGCACTGTGCCGTCGTCATGGTTACCCGCCAAGTTGCACTGTATCTCGTAATCGCTGGGAATTTCCGCGAATGTGTCGCGAATCATATTGGGCCACTTTTACGCGTGGATCTTCTTATTGCGAACTTGTATCTCTGACGTCAGAAGCTGGGCCGCTCCTGACGTCGATTAAGGAAAGTACAGCAGATAGCGCGAAGAGAAACGTTCATTCTCGGAGCGATCCGGTTTACCATAAAGATATTTCGATTTTTATCTTACGACTGACGTCTGCGCGGAGTAAATTTTATTATAATAAATCATATAAATAAAAAGATAAAAATATTATACTATCTGTTGCAGTATGTTTTAGTCAATTAATTGCGTAAATATTAAATATGTAATTTTTAAATACATTTTATTTATATTTTTTTAATAAATTTTTTTATTATATGATTAAATTTTATTATATATTTAAATTATTTACAAGCGATTTTACATATTTTTCTATGGAGAATAATATCAATATTTTTCTCCAATGATAATCTTATCCTTCAACCGTAATCCGCATTTACGTAGCGAGATTGTCAACCGCATAAAGAGCAGACAAAGGGAGTGGATTGAAGAGAGAGCAATTTCCTGAAGCGCTCTACTTGAGTGCCCAAACTTATTCAACTATACTAGGTCTGTGGAAGTGACGAGCTTTAACATCAAATCCCTACAGATATTGTGAAAATCGTAATATATATCGCTATTTTACTACTTATTTAATTATCGATTTACATTTTAAATTTTTTAACAAATATTTCCGACCCATCCATAAAGTAAAAAAGACCTGTCATACATAATAAAAAATAATGAAATGAAATTTATCGATTTACATTTTAAATTTTTTAACAAATATTTCTGACCAATCCATAAAGTAAAAAAGATCTGTCATACATAATAAAAAATAATGAAATGAAATTTATTTGAAGCTGCAATGTACATAAAAATAAATGTATACAATTTTGAGAAAGAGAGAAACGTCAATGTTCTTTACACATTTAATTTGCTCCTATATAAATACAATGAATTATTTAAAGTATTTGATATAATTTACACAAAAAAATAAGAGACCACAACTTTTCAAAAATTTATTTGCTTTAAGTCATTTTCATAATTAAACATTCTTAGGATCAGTATGAATTAAAAATTACGATTTTTATATTCTTTTTTTGTGAATGATACCAATAATCTTAACTCGCAATTTCGATTTAACAAATAGAAGACCTTGTTATTCAACGTCATTTGTTTTCGTAGCAGCTACAGAAACCTTATCACCAAATGCAATGCATTATGTATGAAAGCAAAGTACAAACCCCATTGCTTATAGAAAGTATACAGATCCAAAGAGTATAGTGGCTATTGCAGAGAATAATGGCCTCTCCTTTTTATTGAAATGATAAACTAAGAAATAGTAGCAGTAGAAATATATAGATGTAAATTTGGCAAAAAATTAATAACCACTTTAATGACTTAAAGTAATTAAAAAATGAAGGAGCGAGCTTCAAAATATGGGAGACCATCAATGAAACGATCTTTAATTTTATAATAAAACATTTTGAAAAGACACGTGTCCGCATCAAAAATAATGATACGTAAATCGGGACCTTTAAAATTAAAAAAAAATTAATTATCGCTTTTATGGTTGAAACTAATATTTTCAAAAAATGTTGTATAACTATAGAACTCGTACGAGATGAACAGATGCGAGATGATCTTGAAGTTTATAGCGTTACATGACAGTTTAAAGAAAATTGTAACCTAAGTCCTCGATGTGTGCGCATCGAGATAATAATATTGCAATGATAAATTAATAGTTGGTGCTGCAAGCTACAATTATCTACATCGACATTTGCTGATGAATACTTCAGCAAGCAGAAGAAATACATTCGTGTCAAACATTCGCGTATCCGTGATTTTCTGTTAATGTCAGAAATGAAACATTAACCAAAGAAATTTCTCCGAAAAAAGTTTTGAGTTTGCAAAAAAAAAATATATATGTGTAACACTATAAAAGCATCGTTTTATAATACTGTTTTCTTCTTGATTTATTCTCATCATGCAAGGTTCGTTTTTGGGATAAACAGATATATATATATATATATATATATATATATAGTTTGATATAATTTATTTCATATTAATGTTATTTAATATTTTAGAAAATTTCTTGTTTATATTCAATTTAAATTTTACGAAATTAGAATACAGTTACGAAAGTATTTTCTTTTAGGTTTAGTCGATCCATATTTTGATCCGAAATCGTGAGATCATTAGGAAACGAGAAACGTATAATTAGAGAACGATTATTTGTCTTAAACCCTTGAAAACTGTCGTGTATTAGTTGAAAATGGAAACAGTGAAATATTATGCCAGATTCATAGATCCTCACTGGATAGCCGTAGTGGCAACAGGATTGTACACGCATCTTCGACAGATTTGTATAATCGGGCTGTGTTTCGAGGAAGATAATCTACCTTTCGATCCTTCATATGCATCGGTACTTTTCGTTTTTTCGGTTTTATGTCTCTTAGCGGAATATAGATTGTGGCCTGTAACCCTTAAAGAACCACCGATTCAGTTGCTGTATATTTATGAAGTAAGTATTTATATATAACATTACCTTATCGATTTAAATAGATAATAAAAGATTGTATTTTTGTGCAGTATTTTTTTAATGAGAAAGCGAAAATAAAATTTTATTAATATATAAAAAAATAAAATATATATATAATTTTGTAGTAATTTTGGAGTATAAAAGCAATAAAACATTAAAATTGATTAATATCTGTAACTGGTACGAAAAAAATAATGAGAGATTATCTCATTTAATTATAATAATAATAGTAAATAATAATTAATAATAATATTAATTATATTAATTATAAAAGAGTCTCAAAATTTATATAAATGTATAAATAATATTAATTGAAAGCCGATTTTATTATACAGATGTTGATAGCTGCATTGAGTACGAATTTAGCAATTCATACGGTATGGATACCAATAATGCACGCAATCTTTTGTCTAACTCAAGAATCCAGTAAATGGGTATGTAATATTCACAAAAGATATAATGCTGTGGTTTTTTGCAATTTCCTTAAATCGTAATTTTAATTTCGTCAATTATTTATAAAGTTAAATCTCATAATTTTCTTCAAAAATTTCTGTCAAGTGTTATATAAAATTATATAAAATTTTCGTCATTCGACACAATATATAAAGGTTTTATAAAATTCGAAGTTTAATCAGTAAAACTGTCAAATTCATGCAATGACATTTCAATGAAAAAACTTTCATACTTTCCTTATCGTCTCATGTTTCGCTGATTATGGTAAGATTTGATTGAAATAAGTCATCAGTTGATTTTTTTCAGTGAGTTTTTACATTGTACAGCTATATTTATAAATAAAAATACTACTTATCAGATAATATATTTATTCCATTGAAGAGAATGTTTGTTCGTTTCAATTATTTTTGTTGGTTTTTTGTTCGTTTTAGTTGTTTTGGTTGAATAGCACGATAGGTCTGGATAGCTATTCTTGGTTGACTTCGATCGCGGATTACATGGCTAGCGAAAATGCAGCGATTTACATGGCGTTTTGCATGTCTTTATTATCTTTCGTGTGGATGCTGGACGCCACCGAATCTCTGGAAACATTTCTGGATACGTGGAGCAAGTAGTGAATCCTGACACCTTCCAAATTTTATCCGCAAAATTGTCACTGACATGTAATAAAATTACAATGTATAATTTTTTATGAACATATACAATTTCTCGTCTTAATGAAAAAAAAATTTGCCTCTCTCGCAAGATACTTTATAATATTTAAAACAACGCTTATACATTTCGTTAGACTCTCTCAGCAAAGTTTCATTCTTATTAAAATATGTATTAAATTTATTAAAATATTATTTTAATTATTTATAAAAAAATATAAATTCCACGTTTGTTTAGTCTAATAACAATTTTTCTTATTTCTCTTGTTCTCGGAAGACGTTTACAATTCGTGAATGTTGCAAAAAGTCGCAAACGTAAAAAGAAGAGGATTACATTTAGCAATCCTGAAGTGACCCAATCGTTCTTTTATCGGCTTTGTCGAATGAATTCGTTTATGACAAATCACAGAAGTTAGAGCTAATCTGTTACATATTTATTATTTACATATTTGTTTTATGATAAATTTTTTGTGTTTTAATAAATATTTGTAAATTTTTTTAAATTATTACATTTGTCATTATCTGTGTATTGCATAAATATATATAAGAATAAATCATATTTCTCTAAACTTTATCGATTTAATTCCAAAACAAGGCAGAATTTATAGACATTATGTCAGCAATTTTAGAACAATGTTATTTTACATACAGATTTATATTTAGTTTATTTATTATAATATATATAGCGATGCTTTTTCTATGACAAATATAATATACACATTTTTATTAAGTTTTTTCATTTTTTATTATTTGAAAGAATTATGTTCAACAAATCTGACCAATTAGAAATTGCAAAGCTGACTTCATATCATAAATGCCATTGAAAATTATTTGCTCCTCTTCTGATTTAGAAATTTTCTATTGGAAATCAATATAATTAATAAATTAATTTTGAATGGATAAAGCACGATTATTTATCGTTTTACAACATGGTACAATTGTTGTGTACGATATGGGCATTAATACTCAACAGCTTAAAAATTTCGACATTTCAAACGTGCTTTGCTAATGCTTTGGAAGACGAATTCGGTTATCCTCTAATATCAAGCCCACCGATCACCATATTTTTAATTGCAACAAGTGTCTACATTATCATCGTTAATTCAACAATATTTCCACAATCTTTTCGACAACCAAAACCTGTTTTTATGTGTTTGTACGAGGTTAGTGACAATGAGTATGTTCTACTTCCTTTTTTCACAAATTTAAATTGGAATTTTCATTTTCGATTGCAGTTTCTCGTAACAGCATTCTTTCTGGAATTTGCAATTGCTTGTATTTGGACGCCGATAGATGTATTCGTCTTAAGCACGTTGCCAAAGAAAATTTGTCACGTAATGATATCTGCTCTATTTCATTTTAATTTTAATTATTAACAAAACGAGAGAGATTTTAATAAAATTAAAATATGTAATTAAATTATTTTATTTTAAAATTTATATTCTAATATTTATTTATATAATAAATATTGTATATTTATATAATAAATTATATAAATAATTTATATAAATAATTATATAAATTTATTTATATAATAAAATTATTCGATTTGAATATTTGCATACATGAATATTTTACTGAAATTTTATAATCAATTTATGCCAAAGTTTATATTGAATTGAAACTTAATTTAAGCAGACACTTAGACGATTGGGATTGGAAAACGCAGCCGAAGTATTCAATGCGAATAAATCGTCTATGACGATTCTTACAAATGGAATTGCAACAACAATTTTTCTCATTACTCTTCATGTTACAAAATCTGTCGATTTCAAGGAGCTTACGTGAGTTTGAAATCCCATTCTAAAAATGATCATCTTCTTAGTATTGTAATATAAATATACAGAATTTTTATTTTGAAAATTACTAATTATAAGTAACGTTGGGGCTCTTAGTAAAAGATGCTTTTGAATTTTGATTTATTATACAGGGTGATTCAAAACAATTAAAATTATGTCGAGACATAAAAAATTCGATGAATTAAATTTGTGTCGCAACATAATAAAAATTCGATGTATTAAAATTATGTCGCCACATAATAAAAAATCGATGAATTAAAATTATGTCGAAACAATTTTAATTCTGGAATTTTTATTATATGGCGACATAATTTTAATTCATCGAATTTTTATTATATGGCGACATAATTTTAATTCATCGAATTTTTATTATGTCTCGACATAATTTTAATTTAATTTTTATTATGTTTCGACATAATTTTAATTCATCGAATTTTTATTGTCGTGACATAATAAAATTCGGTGAATTAAAATTATGCCGGGACATAATAAAAATTCGGTGAATTAAAATTATGCCAGGACATAATAAAAATTCGGTGAATTAAAATTATGCCGTGACATAATAAAAATTCGGCGAATTAAAATTATGCCGAGACATAATAAAAATTCGGTGAATTAAAATTATGTCTGGGTATAAAAATAATTCCCAATTTTTATTATGTCTTGACATAATTTTAGTTCATCGAATTTTTTTTATGTGGTGACATAATAATGTTGTTTTAAATCATCCTGTATATTATTTGAAAAATGTAATATAAATTAATCGTAAATTCAGGGATAACGGAGTAATGTATTTCCTATCGCACTTGAGAATTAAACTGTGGCAACGTATACGAAAAGAACTTCCAGAAGCTAAGAATAACAGAGAAAATGAATATTGTTCTAATAACCACAGGAAAAATCGTAGTAAAAACCGTAGTAAAAATCGTGCGAGAAATCAGCGCAGATAACATTTTAATATTCGTCGAAGATTTGAAATAGAAGATGGAAATTAGAACTATCTATTCTCTACATAATAAATTTTCACAATAATTTCCGCACATTGATATATGATTCCTACGAATAATTTAAAAAAAGGAAAAGGGATAATGTATTTGGATCTAATAAAAATAAATACGCTTTCCACAACATTATCATTCCATCGGCCGTTTTATGAAAAAGAAGGCATTTATTTCGTTCGAACTAAAGTGTAAAGTACAAATGGTATAGATAATATAGTGGTAATAATGTAATAATTATAATCATTAATAAATATCAATTTAATTAATAATACGGTGTGTCCCAGTATATACTGCAGGTTATTAATATTATTATTATTAATTATTATTATTATATACGGTAATTGTACTAATGGGATGTGTTCAGTGGCAGCGTTACATTATGTAGTAATATGTATATTTTACAGATCTCTCTTTTCTTCAATCAATAGATAATGCCATCTCTCCTTTTTTTTCTTTCGCTCTACGATTATTGTTTATTTGCGTTGCTCCGAAGAGGCACTATGTAATCCATGAATCCATTACGAAAGAACTTCTCGTAGATATGAATAAATTGCTTGAAATTGTAAGAATCGATTATTTTTGAAGCTTCATTTTTTTTTTAATGTCTCGTAATGAAATATTTTAATAAAATTAATTTTTAATCTCATCAAATTTTTTCTCTTTGTATATTTTAACATTACATATTTGCATTTATTATTATTAATATTATTATGCATTTATAATTTATTATTGTGTTTAACTTTTATAAAAACAATAATTTAAGAACTTAATTTTTTAAATATTATTTTTGCAAAAAAATTATACAATTTTATAAAAAATAAAAATAGTTTCTTCTTGTTCTTGGAATAATGCCTCTTCAAAATTTTTCTTTGTCTTTCCTTCTCACATCTGTCTCTCATTTCAACTCTCTTTGAAATTGTGAACGGAATTCATTGTCAGTTACATTAATTATGAGTTTCGCTCGCGCTCGGCCCTGTAATACCCCATTTACAAAGTATAATCTTTGTGCACGATTGGGCAGTGCTCAGAGAAAGGGTTGAGGATATGTAGGATGAGCGTAATATCCCTTTCCTTTTTTTATATTTTGCGAAAAATTTTCGAAAAGATTAATCCCGATCTTTTTCGATAAAATTCAATGTAAAAAAATGAGATCTTCATTTTTAAAAAATTCCGTAAGTACGATACTTAGACGGTAAATTTCCCTATATTACAAAAAGGGAAATGTTCCAATTAATTCGCGCCTTCATTTACAATATTACCAATTTTTTTTTTAATTACACGCACGAATCAAGCAAGCACAGATACTATAATCTAAACGACAATAAATAACTTTGAGCCGAATTTTTTTTCTTTTTTGACTATTAATTATATTAATAGCAACGCGAAATTGCGTTTTGGAATGGATTTAAGGAACGTGTCGTTTATTTTATTAATTTTTCTTCGTCGTAAATCTTCAACACTGCTCGTTAAAAGTAAGTACGAGTAAAGTCAGTCGATCGCAAATGAAATCGTGTATTTCTTTTTATCTCCTTTTTCTGATTTATATAAACTTTTTGAAGATCTCACGCAAAAATTGAAACCGATTTTTAGCGTTAGATACTTTAGATACGTCAACTGACGATTTTTACGAATGATACATACAACATATTATATGATCTTATTAGAATATTACAATCTTATACATGTGTAATAAATAAATTTTAAAATTAAATTATTTTTTACTTAAATATAAATTATTATATATATATAATAATTATATATAAATAAATTATTTACATATATAAAGACTATCTTTTTTTATCGTATCGAGAAATTTTAATTTATCGTGATTATACTGAAATCAATTCAAAATATTATTAAACATATTATGAAGGTATTTAAAAATGATCAATATAAGGAAAAAATATTGAATCTTGCAGAAGTATATTTTAAATGTCGTTGAAGACGTCTCACAGATATTTTCGCGCTGTTAAAGTACCGGTTTCAATCTTTGCATTCCTTCAGCCATCACTTCGGAACTTTAGATTCCGATCTCTTGCCATCGTCGCGCTAGGCGCACAAGTCCTTCGCAATGTTTTTACTAGCGAAACTATCGGAGGTGTACTCGGGTCGAGCGAACGGAGGAGACTTCGATGCCTCGTCGATGCATAGATCAACTGTTATCGCAAAAATCTTTGCGTAAAACGAAAGGGTACGCGAAATCTCGATCGCTGTATCCAGTTTGTAAATTTAATTAGATGAAATCCGCTTGGAATAATTTATATCTCCAAACGAAGATCGAATACATTGACACTTTAACAATCGAAAAATCGTTCTCATTATTATTTAGATCAATCGATATCCATTTTGGATTATACGTTTTAAATTAAAGGGACCAGAAATTTTATCTTTATCTTGATCCTCAAGTCGATCGCATCTTCATCGACGTGTGTTTACTCGTATATAATCGGACTGCCTTTTTTTCTTTCTTTTTTTTCTTTTTTGCCACTGCACACACGCAACGCGCGCTCGCGCGCTACTCAATACAGTTTTACTCAACGATAATTCTTTCGTTCTTTAATAATAATCCCCATTCAAATACTGTCTCTGCTTAGAATCTACAGGTTCGAGCACATGACAAGGAATGAATAAACTAAAGGACCTAGGATGAATCGGGCGTGCGGGCACCGAGAGATCATGACAGTTTTTCAAATAATAAACTGTATATATACAAAAGTCTTTAAAAAATATAAGATTAGAATTAATTAAAATTTATGAGATGAAAAAATTTTCGGCGATTTCTTTAAGCTCTTCAAATAACCCATTTGTCTCCAAAAATAAATCTTTTTATCTATTTTGGTGCATTAAGATACATCTGTATATCTTTCTCTTTTCGAGAATTCTTTATGCAATCAATTTTTATTACGAATACACGATCGAGTTAAATAAACTCAAATTTTTACGATGACACATGTAAAACTGAACTTGTATGTATTGCTAGTGAACTTATTGCTCGCATGGGATTTATTGCATGATAAAATTATGTTCGGACATTTGTTGTAATGCGAAAAAATCTATTTCTTCAAAATTCTCTATCATTAATCTATTCACTAATTTAGATATAAAGAAATTGGAAATTGCAACAGTTATTTCATAGCTGTTTCCCTTGAAACTGGTTATTCATATAAATTCTAAGTCTAAAAAAATGTTTCTTCGTTGGATGCGTCAGAGCTCGGTGCTCGCAGCCCTCGGGAGGCAACGATTGTACGCGGGACGTGTATTTAAATAGGTAGATGTAGTAGACATACGCAACTTAATATCACAAATTCGTTGAGAAACCATACGCAAACACGATCATCGGTAGGACAGTTATACAGCGTTGACGCAGGATACTGCGCGCGCCGACACACTCATACACATGTTAATTACAATATTCGTACAAGTGCTTACGACGTACATCTTTATAACGCCATCTCTTTCTCTCTCTCTCTTTCTCTCTCTAACTGGTAATAAATTGACTATTAATAATTCCCATTGAGAATTTTACAGGTTTCAGTCGGGGCTCAGTGCGTGGAAAATCTTTTACGCGAAAGGCTGCGACGACATAATTCAGTGTGCACGAGGATTATTCCGCTTCTTATTTAAGGATCTCTTTTTTTAGGTCGATTGATTCACTTTCATTCTCTATTCTTCTAACTTTATCGAGATAAAAAATCTGAAGTATCCTTAATTCACTAATTCAATCTAATCTAAAATTGACATTTCTCCCCTATTTTTTATATATTGATTTTCATATCTTTTTAAATCGAAGTAAAAGAAAAAAAAAAGAATTTTCGACAATTTAGCGTTAGATAGAAATTTTATAATTTTACCGTACTAGTATTATTTTTATGGAGAACGTTAAGGAAATCCAATTCGGGATGACTAGAATCCGAAATCCTACATTTTTTTCCGGTTCCCTCCTCGTGCACTTCTATTATCTCATGTATCATCCCGTCGTGCCTTTTCGCGTTCCAAATTCTCCTATATCTCCCCTCTCTCTTCGATGACGTAAAATAAATATTAAAACTATTTCGAGATATATCAACGTGAGCATAGTTTAGCGGATGCGTATTCATCTCATTTTTCTCGTGTTGTCTGTATGTTCGTACGTGTCCTCTGTCTGTATGTATAATATATATTTGTATTTATATTTATATTTATATATATTTATATATATATATATATATATATTTGTATTTATACTTAGATTTTTTTTTACGTTCGCTATATTAAAATTATAATAATTACATTACGCACACGGTAAACTCGTGCTCTTTCTCTGTGAGCTTTCTTTCCCTCATCTCTCTTTGCTTGGACTTTCTCGCTTTTCCGCTTCGTGCGCTCTTCTATATATATATATAAATATTTATAATATATATTATATAATATTTAATAGTATATAATACTATCACTAATGAGGATGGCGATGACGATGACAATGACGACAATGAGCCGATGTCGCGACAACTAACGATACCTTAATGTTAATCCCTATTATGGCAGACTATCTACGGTAGGATCGTCCGTCACGAACGAGAGTGCACTGTTCTTAGGACTCCTTCGCGTTCAGGACAATGAGAAATGTACTCATCGAGGATACGTCGTGTCCTGTGGGAGGACTCGTGCAAAAGAACGAAGAACTAAAAAAAAAGTTTGGGCGACAGAAGTCGTCGCTGACGAATCATGATACGCTGAGAGGATTGATATCGTGTTAACATGTATCTGTGGTCTATGTGTATGTGTATATGGGAGTGTGAATGCCCTTGATTAATCGTTACAACACATCTAACGCGTTCGCCCGAATCGCGACGATAAAAAATAAATAAACGATCCCGGTTGCGCGAGGACGACACGCTGATCTAAGATCCAACACTGATGACAACAACGTGATATACACCTACACGTATATATGTATGTATATATAAGTGTACGCACGCGGGGAGAAGAGGGGGTGAATGAAGGGAGGAAGAGAGGAATAATTTACCCCGATAGTGATCGATGAGCGAGGAATTGATGCAATGAGGGAGGTGGAGGAGGGAAGGATCCGTTAGAAAAAATTTCGTCACGTAAATCTTTGGATATTTCACTACACGTTGCTTTACGTTACATAACGTACTATACAGATATAGGTATGCTGCGACCTTTTTCTCTCTCTCTCTCCGCCTTCTCATTAAACATCTCTACCATTCGTCTTAACCATCGCATTTTATTGCAACGTTCGCCTTTTTTTCGACCCCGAGTATGTATGTATATATATATGTGCGTGTGTTGTATGTGTTTTTTTTTGTGCACGCACCGCGGATGACACTGCGACGTGTGACGTAACATTTAACGTCGCGTGTGTCATAGTACTTTCACTAGCCGCACACAACTATGAGAATATATATGCTGCCGCTCCTCGAGAAATTCATCACTCTCGCGCGAGGATTTTCGCGCGTGCATCCCTCGAGATCCTCCGAATGTTCGTGATGTAGAGCCCTGATCCCCACGATTTCGACGAGGTTCAGGGTCGCCTCGATCAAGATCAAGAGCACTACTCATTCGGATGATATGGATCGCGTGACTTGGTGTGGTGTAATGTAGAGACTACTCGGCTGTATTGTTTTTTTTTTTTTTTTGGACGCTAACTTAGTCCTCCTCTTCGCTTATCTCCTCCGCGGGACCGTACATGTCGGCCAGTTTGTCGAATCTCGGACCCCAGGCGCCTAAATACTCGTACTCGTGTTGCTCGTCATCCGTACCTGCATGATTTGATGAATAATTATATTTCAATATTTATTAATTTACAGTATATTTATTTATATATTTTTCTAATTAATAAATTGTTTATATATTTGTATCTGCATGATTTTATTAATAATTACATTTCAATATTTATTTATTCTTAATTTGCAAATGTATTCTTAAGAATAAAAGGAAAGATTTTTCGAAAGATGCTGATTTCTTCAAAATAAATATTTCCAAAATTCTTCTTTTCACATACCGGAGGCTAATGATTCCAGAGATCCCGCGGTACTTCCGCCACCCTCGTAAGCGTAATTTCGCAAATCATCGAAGGGCGGTGCATTCGGGTCACTGTCGGCTCTCTTCTTATGATCCTCGATGAAGATGCCGACATTCGGTTCCGGTCCAAGTGGATCTAAAGAAATGAGATGTATTCTTGTTGTTATCAGTTCTCATAAAAAAAAATAATGAAAAACACAAAATGCGTACAGGCCACTTTACACGGAGGCATCTTGCCGCCCATTTCCGGAATCGGGCCACCGATCGGGATCTGCAGAGGCGTGATGTCGAACGCAGTCATGTCATCCTCTCCGCCACCCTCGTCATCGTAGTTGATAATATTCTCCCTCACGTCATCATCCGGACCAGGATACTTTATGTGAGATTCTCGTCTTCTGTTGTAGACGACGAACACCAACACGAGAACTGAAATAGATAAAATAATTCGTATTATTAAATGTGCAAAAAAATTCACCATTTTATCAATGTCAAAGTAATACTTCTCTTTTCAAGGAGTTCAAGCAAGTGCAAAGGGTAACAAAGTCCATCGCGGAAACATAAGTTTTACGATGTTGCAATGTACAAAGCGGATATCAATCTTGTCAGGTAAAACATCATTTTTTTTAAACGAAAGCTTATTTTGAAAGATTTTTAAAAGTGCAGTTTTTATTAGCGCGAAACAAAAATTAAAGCAGTTTTCAAAGAGAGCGCAAAGAGAAAATGGTGTAAAAGGAAAAGAAAATAAAGAAACATATAAGCTTTCGTAATGCAATTTGTTTTATTTTTCGATCAATCAGCTGACTGTATGTGTGCCGCAGCAAATATAACTGAAACATAATTGGACGTGCTCAAACATAAAATAAAAAATCAATAAAAAATCAATAAAAATTTGGAATAATAAAAATAATATAAAAAGCATGCGTTATAAACTTATTTAGCATTCAAAATATTCGATATAATCGACCAGATTGACTATACTAACCAAGAATGATCAGCAGACAGACGAGAATGGCTGCCAGTGCACCCATACTCAGCTTAAGCGTTTGACCTTCTTGCACCAGTTCGCAGTTTTCACCCCAGAAACCATCAGGACAGATGCATCGATATCGGAATCGCGGATCCTGATTGATGCATCTACCACCATTCAAGCAAGGATAGTCGATGCACTCATTCTTGTCCATACATCCTTTATTATCCGGCGATGGAATCCTTCCTTCTCCGCAGCTGCGCAAGATAAGAAAAATATATATAATATCGTAACAGTGTCGCAGAAATAAAAGACGTAGAGTGTAAAAGTGATACTCACGTGCAGTCATACTCGTTCCACAGATCGATGCACTCGAAAGGATCTTGGCAAATGACGTTGGCGCACGGTTTATTCGATGGACAGTTCCTTTCCAAGTTTCGCGCCATCGTTGCCTGACCCCACTGTGTCCCGTTCATGGCAGGTGGTAACGGAAGATGTTTTCCTTCTAATCTTATGTCGTCCAAGCAACCTGAAATTTTTATTTAAAAAAAAATTTGTAGACATAGCAACAACTTTCCTGTATTAAAACAAGTCGAAATTCAATTAAAGATTATTACATGCATATTTATAATTACTTTTTTTGCAAAATGACCCAACTTACCTTTCTGATAGTCCGCATAAACCTCAAATGTGCGGACACCAGTATATTCCGCTTTGCCACCAGCGTAGACACCTTCCTGCTTGTCCACCAGGAGCCACTGATGTCCTTCGAAGGAGAAGGTCTCGTTGAATCTTCGTCCTTCGCCACCGTCCAGTTCCAGGGTAGCTGCAGATCCGTATCTTGATACCCGCACTGTATGCCATTGCCCGTCATCAACGGCTATCGCCGAGAGCCAGATATCTCGCTCCTCTGTTCTAAGACTGTTCAGATTATACCTGAAGTGCAGTCTACTGTCTTTGATCTGGAATTACAAGGATAGTCATATCAGCTGTTCTACCTTTTTCAATGAATTTTACTTAAATAAAAATAAATTTCATAAAGAAAATCACAAAGAAAAATTGTTACTAAAGAACAATTAATTTTACAATTATAAAATACGTCAAACACTCACTTCCAAAATAGCGTATTCCCTGTTGTGTTGATCGCTCACTCTAAAGAGTTCACCGTGAATCTCGCGAGTGCGGAATCTCAATTGTATCTGCGTGGAATATTTGTCCGGCTCGAAGGATAACGCGTACTTGACGTAGCTCTGCGGCTTGAAGGTGGTCGGAATTGTCGGTGTCATACATCCAGGACCGGTCCAGCCAGGATTGCACTGGCACTTCGCGTCGGTGAAGCTGCCTACGCAGGTGCCGTGCTCCCAGCAACGGAACGTCGATTCTTGATTATTGCAGATCTCTTCTGTTTGCGGACAACCGGCGACGCTGTTTCGCGACAGACCCGGATGAGCGAGATCGTACAGTTTGCTGTTGTGGAAGAGGTTCTTAATGCAGCCGTCGAAGCCCTTCCCGACCGGCATGTGTTTCCATTTGTAGTGCGTAGGGTCGAATTGTTCCACGTAAAGTCCACCGATCTGCAGAGGCGCGTTCACGTTCAGATATTCATTGAAGGGTGGCACCGTTCCCGTAGCCTGGCAACTATTGTCGATGAATTCCGGCGGGCTTCCATCCTCCAACTCGGATATATTTGCAGTTTTGCAGTAATCGATGATGAGTTTTACAGTCTGCAGAAAATAAAACCCGCGTTTAAAATCGCTTCGAATTTATGAAGGAGAATCAAGAAGCGAAGAGCTACGGATTATTTTTACCTCTGTATTCCAGAAAATATCGAGTCGATGCCACTCGCCGTTGTCCAAGGGTTGTTTTGGTTTTACCTTTAATTCCAAAGTGCCGGAACCAAAATCGATCAGCAACCTCGGTGCACCACGTTCCAATTCGACCGAAATAAAATCTGTTGGCGCGATAAGAAAAGATTATTAAGACATTGTTAATTTTAACTGATGACATAATTAAAATGTAAAAGAATGAAAACCTTACCGGAAACCATTACTTCATCGGTTTCAGGAGGAACGATTGGACCATTGTACAATAATAATCCGTCGGGCTTCTTTGTAATAAATTCGAAGCTCAAGTGACTGTTGTCGCACATTTCCAAAGCAGGATACCACGCCCAACCGTTGCCTCGGAAACTTCTGGCAGTTTGTTGACACCTCGGACCATTGTAGCCAGATGGACATTGACATCTAAAATAGTAAAAGGAAAAAACGCATGAACTATCGTTGACGATCGAAGAACAAAAATTCATATAAATGCATATAATGTTAGTGATATGAAATTTGCTTGATTTTCACACTTACGATAATCCAAACCGATCTTCCACACAGCGTCCACCATTGTAACAAGGACTGTTCCTGCAGGACTCTCCCTTACTGAAGTTTCGTGCTCCACAGGTACATTCGGCTATCACATCCACTCGTACACCAACAAGGGCAGTTCTGTTTGCGTTCACCATGTATGGCAGGTTGCTGATGTCAAGGGTGTTTGTACAGCTACCTTCACACATCTCATTTTCGTAGTAACACTCGTCGATGCCGACCATAGTTATATTGATACCCACGTCTTTCTCGATCTGCCAATTAAAAATGCGATTTTAATCGACACTGTTTAAAAACTTGTTAAATTTTTTTTTTGCGACTTATTGATGAAATTTACCTCTTCACGATGCATAAGTACCATGCCATTAAGTCTGACTGGTTTATAGTACAGCGAACCATGTGCAGCAAATCTAACATCTGTCAATGGTGGATGTACTCTCCTTAATTGAACGCTGAACACGTCTACATTATCCCTGTCTATGCTCAACAGATGCGACAGCTTGTCCTTAAACAGATCCGCTTTGCTCCGAGATAAAGTTTGATTCTGTGAACATTGAAAAAATCTCATATTATTCTTCTGATTAAAATAAATTTGAAAAGATTTTATTAATAAAAATATATTAATAAGTTATATATATATAAATATATATATTTTCTCACCTGATAATTCCAGACTCGAATAAAATCTTCGTCCGTTATCCCTGATATTCGAACCGACCCTGAGTTTAATACTGCTTCATGCGGAATACTCTTCACGGTGACAGTCACGTTCGCAGGTACGTCCGTTTGCGTGTGCTTCCGATCGTAGACCTTAAACCGTAGATGATATTTGCCATCGTGCGTGCCGGACTTCATGTAAATCATTCCTGTATCCTCATCGAGTCTAAATTGCGCGTGTTCCAGTCCTTCCCAATAAAATTTCTTATCCGGTAAGTCCCAGTCGTCCAGATCGTACACATACACCCTACCTATTTCGGTATCTGGCGATTGTCCCTGAAAATTAATTATGAAATAATTAGATCATTTATTACATCGAGAAACCATAATGTAAGAGAGTGCAGTTAGAATTTACAACTAAAATCTGAATGTAATTAATAAAATTTAATGTAAATACATACTGCGTAATTATATACAAAGATTTCCTTAGAACCAGGCTGCATTTTATTATCATTAACATCCCCTATGATAACTGTTAAGGTACTGGTCCCAGACATAGAAGGATTTCCAGAATCCTTGATGACGATGGGGATTAAAAACTCCTTCTGTTGTTCCCTGTCAAAGGATCGTAAGGATGACACTACAGCCATTCCATCTCCATTGGCTCCCTCTGCAAAATAGCAAGAATATGAGTGATGGATATATTATATTTTCAATATTAAAATATTTTACTATAAAATAGTACAAATGACACATTCTCAAAAAATAATTTAGAGCATAAAAATATTGGAGAGAAAACTTGTAGCAAATTACTTTAAATATTATAATTTTGTATTAATCAAACTTACTGTTATCGCTTTCAACTTTGAAGCTAGCTCTGATAACATCGTTTGCATTAGGATCCATCCTGAAAGTGAATGGAGGGCCGTTGCTCCTCGACCGGTCATCGTCATCGGTAGCAAGAATCTCGACGACCTTCTTCGTTTGTGCGTATTCGGGTAAAACTGGACGATAGTCCTTGAGGAACCTCGGCGGATTGTCATTAATGTCTTGTACAACGACTGTCAAAGTGGCTGTCGCGGTCTTAGGTGGTATTCCATCATCGATCGCCAAAATTTTAACCTAAGGGCAGCAAACCGTTTATGATTTTCATTACGATTATTTAATAATAATTGAATGTATATGTAATAATTTATATCTGTTAATTTACATCGACATTTTATAATTTACCTGATGTCGAGGCGTCTCTTCGCGATCTAGACTTCTCTGTATCGATACGGTGCCATTTTCATTGATGAAGAACTGCCTCTTTCGATCGGAACTTCTATCAATAGAATAGGAGACCTTGCTCTTTCCACCTTGGTCTGGATCAGTGGCTTTGAACGTTTCCAGGCTGCTACCTATGCGGGCGTTCTCCGGGACAGTAGTTTCGATATTGGCTTTCTCAAATTGTGGTTGATTGTCGTTGATGTCTCGCAATTTCACAACTACCCAAGAATAGGCCACGTGGTACTTGTCATTATCGTTGTCTTCGCCCTGAAAAAATATTTACTGATCAGCTCAGAATATGAAGAGTCACTTCCATTGAATACTTTTCTCGTAATTTATTAGACTAAAATCTTCTTAAAAAGTTTTGTAAAATTTAATTAAAAAAGTTTTTTGAAGAGAGAAAGATATATTTAATTAAATTATACTACAAATTTTCTTTGTATTCAAGTTCTTAATTTTTTTATATATTTCTTTTAATTCCCTCATTACTCACCTTATCGTTCACTTGTATTCTAAATCTAAAGCCGTTACTCTGCAGTTGGTCCTCGTAATCCAGCGACTGTACAATTTTCAATGATCCTGTGCCATCGTTGTTTCGTACCATGGTAAATTTATCAGCACCGTAACCACTGTTTTCGATTACCTGAAAGCCGCGATAAATATTCACCCTTTAATCGCTTGACTTATTTATTGGCATTGAATAGAAGACACAACGATTGTATTATTTCAATTATTGGAAAGTAGTAGCAAGAATAATAAATGTTCTAAAATACTTTGCGAAATTACTAACAATTTCAATATTTATAATTGCATTCTACTATCAAACTTTATTGTATCCATTCTTATTTAACTTTGCGTCCGATTGAAAATAGTTATATCGCGCAGAAATGCGAGAGATACCTTGTATTGGAATTTATTGGTCTCATCTTCGTCGTGAACGGTAACAGTGAGTATCGGCATTTCCGGCAGATCTGGCCCCTCTGTTTCGTCCACCTCGGTAAACCACTCCTCTTTCGTAAATGCTGGCGGCATATCGTTTATATCTTTTACCCGTATCGATGCCGTCCCGGTACCTGAGAGGAAAAGCATATGCAATGTTCTACAATAATGTTCTCGGATGGGAATATCCCGCGGAAACGCTTAAAATATGCAAAATCCGCCCGGAAATAGCCTAGTTCTATGCACACGGCGGGTGCGGACTTCCAACTTTTTCGAATGAATACTTGAAACCGGAACGTGACTTGTAAGATACATACACAACACAATTGACGTTCTTAGCCCGTTGAAATGTAAAGCATAATAAAAAAGTATAAAATGTAGAAACAATGCCTCTTTTTACTTTTTTCTACGATTAATATTCTGCTGAATAAAATTTATCACGAATTATATTATTAAATCCTCTTTCTTTTCGATACCATCTGACATAAAAATCTACTAAATGCGACATTACTAATAACTGTAATTAGAGAAGAATCTGTGCGATAAATTTTGAAAATTAAGTTATTCCTACTAAAATTGAATTGAAAATGGAATTGAAAGAAAATTCTACCTTTTAACCCCCCTCCATCCATTGCAACGACTTGTATAGAATAATCCGGTGTACGTTCTCGGTCCAAGCAGCATACTGCAGTCTTGATTACACCAGTTTCCGACTCAATCTCGAAAATGGGCGAGCCAGTCTCCTCCTCGATGACATTCTTCTCGATGGAATAAATGAGCCTTGCATTCGTACCTTCGCTCGGATCATCATAATCCACGGCTGTCATTGTCATCACAACCATTCCTAATAAAAAAAGAAAATCAAAAGCATATTAATCCATAAAATTCCACCCTTCTATATCGATAAGAATAAGAAATTGAATTTTTAATCTATACTATATTTTAAGATAAACTCTTTTCATCTAGTCTATTTAACTCATTATAAGCTAACGTTGAAGTTTTGTCTCTAGAGATTTTTATGGATTTTGTTTATTGGATTGTTTCAGTTTTCCCACAAACCTGCGGTGCCGTTCTCGGTGACGTTGCCGAAGTAGACTCCTTGCGGGAATATTGGAGCGTTGTCATTGATGTCCTTGAGATTAACCTGAACGTCGGCATAACCCACAAGACCCTCTCCACCCTCGTCTTGAGCAAACACGGTGAATCGCCACTGCGGTCGACCATTCGGTTGATCTCTGTCAAGCGGCTACAGGAAGAAAAAGGAGAGTCACATGAGGATCGTTTGGAGAAGCCAGTCAAACGTAGGATTCTCTAGGCGAGGATGTCATATATTGACCCAGTCTTTACCCGAAACTCAATATCATCTCGCGGAGCCGATATTTGAATTATTATTCCATCGCGATATTGCAATAGTGCACACACGTGCACAAATATATGCATTCTGTAGTTAAGGAAGAATTAATTTCTGCGTCAACAGCTGTCGGATTACGTCAGGTGTTTAAATATCGATTTAAAATTAATCTTTGACTTATGAAGAGAGATAATTGAATCATCTTTTTATTTTTTTTTTAATTTTAAATCAACCCTTCGTTAAAGTAAAATCCATCTCACATTACTTAAATCATGATGACGTTATCTACTGAACATTTTTTAAATTAATTCGATAAAGCTGTTTAATTCTGTTACGTCAGTTTTTATTTTATAATTATTAGTAAAAGGAACACCGGTGTCATTTTTGTTTAATTCGATTACAAGTATTAATTAAACACAAAGCTAAAATTTTATTGTTGTATAAATATAAATAATAACATTAGTGAGAGAAAATTTTCTTTTTTCATTTCAAATAAAATCTTCGTTAAACAGTAAAACATATCTCAGAATTTAATTCTGTTACGCTAATTTATTTTGTATTGATATAAGGAACACTGTTTTTTAAATTCGATTACCGGTATTGATTATTTATTGGAGAATGTAATAATGCGCAAAAATGCATTAATAAATATGTATTTATATTAATAAAATTATATCTTGCTGAAATTATTGCTCTATAATATACGTTGATAATTTTGTGCAATTGTCATATATTGCAAGAATTTTTTTAGCAATAATATTCATTACGAGAAAAAAATAATATTGATAGAACTTGGAAACAAACCTTCAGAACAAAGATCGCGATGTTACGCTAATTTATTTTGTATTGATATAAGGAACACTGATGATAATTTTTTTTAAATTCGATTACCGGTATTGATTATTTATTGGAGAATGTAATAATGCACAAAAATGCATCAATAAATATGTATTTATATTAATAAAATTATATCTTGCTGAAATTATTGCTCTATAATATACGTTGATAATTTTGTGCAATTGTCATATATTGCAAGAATTTTTTTAGCAATAATATTCATTACGAGAAAAAAATAATATTGATAGAACTCGGAAACAAACCTTCAGAACAAAGATCTCTCCGGTCGTACGGTTGATATCGAACTTGCTGTTAGCAGGATTATCGGGATCGATACCTTGCCCGGTTAGGAAGTAGACAATGTTCTGCGGTCTGTCCTTATCCCCGTCAGTCGCAGTTACCTGAGGATCAAATATTAATTGCAAATTTACCGTAAATGCGTCGTGGTCAGCGGTAAATGTTCATTCAGACTACACAAGTTCAATGTTACATAAGGAGAGAGAACAATTACCCCGAGCACGCGTTTCGGCAGAGTCCTGTCGTCCTCCTCCGTAATTTGTGTTCTGTAATTTGGTCGCTCGAAGACAGGCGGGTTGTCGTTTACGTCCTTCACGTGAATTACAACCGTCGTGTAATTCTCCTTCAAGTTATCCGAGGCAGTAAGCCGAAGCTCGTACTGCAAAAAGCACGCGCGAATTTTATCGTGAAGAATGTACCATTCTTTCGAATTCTTCTACGTCTATTAAATATCTTCTATGTGTATAAAAAAATTTCAAAAAAATAATTAATTAAACTGCAATTTTATTTTTATTACATTAAATGAGATTATTTCATTCTTATACTGTATCAAAGACCTATTTTAATATTGCATATATAAGTAATGTGAAAAAAATAATAAAAAATAATTAGAATTAATCTTCAAAAGAGACGATTTTTGAAAATGTATAAAAAAGAAAGCTTTATTATTAAATTTATTACTTTAAATGGCTTCTGAACATAAAAAAGACTGACACTAACAATAAAATCTAAAGTGAATTAAATTATCTCCTTTTTTATACTGTCCAAAAAAAATTAATTATATAATTATAATTAAAGATCATTTTTGAAAAATGCAGAGAAAAGATTTATTGTTAAGCTTCTATTCTTCTATAAAGGGTGATACCTTAAATAATTTCTGAACATAAATAAAGATACTTAACTCCTCTCTTATATTGCTCTCAAATAATGAAACTATAATAAATTATCCTTAAAGATCATTCTTAAAAACGCAAAAAAAAAAGATTTATCGTTAGATCTATTCTTCTGTAAGGAGTCACATTAAATAATATCTGAACATAAATAAAGGCACTAAGGAAGCTATAAAGTGGAGTAAAGTATCTGCTGCTTTTATTGTCCAAATAATTAAAAAAAAAAATATATATATATATATAATTAATGATTAAAAAATGCAGAAAAAAAAGACTTGTTATTAGGTTCATTCTTCTGTAAGGGGTGTCACTTTAAATAATTGCTGAACGTAAACAAAGACGCCAAGCTATAAAGGAGCTAGGGAGTAAAAGTGTCCAGTCGGCACGCTCGAATGACATTAATGGGGATACCAACCCTCTTCCTCGTCTCATAGTCCAACGCACCCGCGACGTAAATGGCGCCGGTCATGTTTTTCACGGCGAATGCACCGCCTATGTTCCCGCTCGTGATCTCGTATCGAATACGCGAGGCTGGAATAGAGAAAGGAGGGTGCGCTTTTAATAAAAGCAAGTCTCGCGCGCGACTTTTCCTCTCGCTCTCGCTCTTTTTTTCTTTCCAACATTCGCTCGCAATCGAATGAATTTCAAGATAAAAGTTCTCTCTGCGAGGGAGTTTTATCGCGTAACAAAGTTCGGAGATACAGGCGGTGTCGCCTTCGATCGTTTCACCCCATCTCCTCAATTTTATTCTCGATCTGACTCACCGATAATTCGAATTCGTTTTATAAATACGAATTTGCAATAAAATGTTGACAAAAATAATATTCATTAAAATCGATCTTGTATATTACTTTTCGTATCGTGTAATATGTTCAAATTTGATTTTAATGAAATTTAGTTTTCAACATCCGCCGTCATTATTCCCTCGATGCGTAATTTAAGGTGTGTATACAGCGTTATTTGCGTGATTTTTAATTGGAACAATAAATATGGAAGAAAATAATGACATGCACACGTACACACACGTAGGAGAGAACGCGATGCATTTATTTATACGGGATTTTAATTGCATAGAGCCTGCATCACCCGTCACGTACCATCACGTTAATGTGTTTACGCAATGTTGGGCTACGTTTAAAAAGGATACAGTCTGAATAAAATATGTGAATATTTCTTGTATGCTTATTATACATTGAGGAATACAGATATTAATTTCGTTAACATTATTAATATTTATTGAATCACGAACGAAATGTTTTTCGGCTATAAAACTGTGCAAATTTGTGTATATATTTCACCACACTCAAAAAGATAAAATATCGAAATAAATTAAATGCACCAGGGGAAACTTTGTTTAATTTACATACAGAGCATATTGCAAATACAATCCTCACAAATCGCGTTTTATTATCGAGCTGAAGTGTCTCGACCGAAATGAGAATCAAAATTTTCATGATACAAATGTAATTGTAAATTTTAGACTATACGTTGAAGAACAAATGGAATAATTCGAATTTTCAGAAATGATACTCCTTCTGTATGAAATATCATAGCTGAAAATGATATAATTTTATAAAAACATTATACTTGCATCACATTAAACTTCTCATCTTGCAAGAAACAAAGATCATAATTCGAAGCTCATATATATTTTTAGAATTAATATACACTCCTCAAAAAATTAAAGGATAAAAAAATTGTCCAAAAATGGGCAAATTTTAAATAACTAATTTTGTTTCGGAAAATGATAATTTAAATTTTAAAAAAGAATTTTCAAGCTTGAAATCTCATCTTTCGAAAAGTCATAGCTTTTTTCATTTCGTCCAATTCTGATATTTTTTACATACAGAAAACGACGAACGACAACATAACGAAATGGAAAATTTTCTCTCACTTTTATAGACATATCGCATACACAAGATAAAAAAATTTTTTGACGTTTGCACGTTAAAGCCTGAAATTTTCCCTGCAAAATCTTTTTTTAAATTTAAATTTCGATCTTTCCTCATCAAGTTATCTCAAATTGAATTTTTTTTAACTCGTACTTTTTACAAATAGATGAAAATAACGAAAAAATTCGAGTTTTCTTCTTTCTGTTTAAACTTTGAAAAAAAGTTACGTAAGGTGACTACAAAAATTTTATCGACTGAAATTTTTGTGCCTCCTAATACCCCAAACTTGGCTGTGGTTTTTTGCCAAGTAGAGATTTCAAGCTTTAAAACCCTTTTTTAAAATTTAAATTATCATTTTCCGAAACAAAGTTTAACAGCTATTTAAAATTTGCCTATTTTTTCGACAATTTTTCTTATCCTTTAATTATTTTGAGAAGCGTATATTATTTAAAATATCTTCGAACACATATATTTCAGCGATCTGTCTAAATAACATAATTATATAAAATAATATTTATGTATTACTAGTTTATATATTATATAAATTATTATCATTTAATAGATTATAAAATGTAAAAAAATATATTATATATAAATATATAAATATATAAATATAAATATATAAATATTATATAATTTTTTACATTTTATAATATAATAAATTTATAATCATAATTAATTATAAATTTATTATATTATAAAATGTAAAAAAATATATAATCTATTAAATTATAATTTATAATTAATTGTGCATATTTATTTAGACAGGTCGTTGAAAAAATATATCGACAGAAATTCACATAATTACATATCTACGTGGATTATAAATTTTATTATAACTTTGACTGTATATTAAGCAAATGAAAGCGATATTAATGCGGCAATATCAATCAAGTACTTACACTCGTCGTGATCTTTGGCGGTGACGGTGAGTACCGTGTGCTGAATGTCTTCATTTTCATCTACCTCTGCCTCGTAGAGGCCCTTGTCGAAGTACGGGGGATTGTCGTTCTTGTCAGCTATCCCAATTCGGATGAATTTCGTTACTGTAACAAAGAAATTTCAACCATGCTAAATAAATTATATCGTGGTTATTTCAAAAAATTAATTTTGCAAAATTATTATCACCTGTTTAAAAGTCTAAAAATCTCCGATTCGAGAGATGAAAAAATCGCGAGAACTTTTTCAACCTTGATTTTAGTTAGTCTCAAGAGTTTATTCCTGCTTAAAATTTAAATGGTTTTAATGATTCATAAATAAAGAATAAAAGTATATTTGCATCTAACTAGAGAGTCTTTCAATAAATCAAAAAGCAAACTAGATACTAGAATCAAGATATATTTCAAGTCTACCTCCTTTTGAGGGAATGATATACTTTACATATCAAATACAATAAACAACTGGAAGCATCTACTTTGCACACTATTGAGTGCAAATGCAAAATTCATACGGCGAATTAGTTATATTTTTGAATTCCGGATAGAACCTCGGTAATATCCATCGTTTCTCACAAGAAACTTGTGAAAGTTTCTGCAGAAGAGCGCGCAGACAATTATATATTAAAATCTCGACTGAATAGTGACGAATCTCTTATACCGCGTAATAAAACTCATTAATATACGCGAGAAAGTTTTTCCGTAATTTTGTAAAAAGTCGGAGAATGATTTTAAATAAAAATCATTCGTAATTGCTTACATTTCGTGCAATTAATTAAATTTTTTTTTTTATACTAAATAGATGATGCTTATAATATTGAATATTGTGTAAAGTAAAAAATGACCGATCAATGAATGAATGTATCGTCGAAGGTATAATCAAATAAATAAAAATAAAAATAAAATTAAAAGAAGGACATTATATTATAAATGACGTAAAAGGGAGATAATATCTCCTCGTGAAGTTTTTCGAAACTCGCCATCCTGACTTCATTCTACGCATTATATATCGGTCTTAATGTACTTTGCGCTAAAGTATGGAAGTTGAGCGATAAAGAATCCCGGGGACCGTTAATCATTTTTTCGCCCCGCTACAGAAATTTAAGATGGGCAATTACCGGTCGCCGATGGCAAGAAGGTTAAGTAGTTTCAGATAACGGCACTTCATTCCAGAAGTAGACATTTATTGATGGAACTAGGTTGTGGCCGTTAGGAGAAAAATGTATAATTGCGGACGCTTTTTCTCTAGATTGGTACATTAAGCTCTCAACCGCATTTTATAGTGGTAAGAAGAGAGTCGGCAAACATCATTAATTCTGCTTAATGCATATAACGAGGATTTGTCATTTTATATCAACGCGATACGATACACGAAGTACATTACGAGGAGATTTAAACGAAACGTACGATTAATTACGCATCGCTCTGGCTTATTAAAAGTTCAGACAGAGACCCGTATATCGCTGTCATTTAATGAGCCGAGTTGAATTTACTTTAATTAATCGCCGAATTAAATCAATGGAATAGTCGCGTTTTATATGTATATTCGTCGTATATTGTGTTGAAGGGAAAAAGGGAGAGAGAGAGGATGAAAGCTATTTAAAAGAGGCGCAAATCGAGCGTCTATTTATTTAGTAAAATTACTCGAATCCGAATGTATGAGTTCGAATCGATGTGAGAGAATTCGGTCACAGCTTCGGTTTCTATAATGTAAAAATAAATAATTTCGTACGATTTTTTTGTTGAATCTTTTTCTATTTATTTAACCGATAAATGTATTTTAAATTTAGAATTTAGTTATGTATATAAGTAGATATTTTGAAAGTTCAAGATTTTTCAACAATATTAAATTAAGAAATATTACTTTGACAGATGAGTGTATTAAATTAAAAATTCAATTATAGTATATAAGCAAATATTTTGAAAATAGTGTACCAGCAACTAATAATAATTTTTCAACCAAATTAAATATTTCATAAGTTTAATAATTTTATTACAAAATTAAAACATTTCTTTCGCAGATAAATGTATTTTAAATTTAGAATTTAGTTATGTATATAAGTAGATATTTTGAAAATTCAAGATTTTATATTAAGAAATATTACTTTGACAGATGAGTGTATTAAATTTAAAATTTAATTATGGCATATAAGCAAATATTTTGAAAATAGTGTACCAGTAACTAATAATAATTTTTCAACCAAATTAAATATTTCATAAGTTTAATAGTTTTACTATTCAATTAAATTTATTCCGATAGATATGCATTCGAGAAGCACGTTAAGCAGAAAATCTATTATATTAAAATGTATTCCCGTAAAAGTCCATTCGCATGACGTCTGTGATATTGCAAACCGCGGCCAATTTGCTCCAAGTATATCCTGCCAAGAATCTCTCTCTCTCTCTCTCTCTTCATCTTATTGCTCGAGATCGTTTCCTTTCCTCGACAAATACTCAGTTGATTAACTTAATCCGGACGCGAGTCTCTCTCTCTCTCTTTTACTACTTCACAAAGTGCAATAGTTGAGAAATAGAGGGAGGAGCACATGTGAATCTCTTAAATGCAATTGTGTTGTTTAATTTACTGAAAACCAATTATGTATATTTAAAAAATGTTTAACTATGATTATTTTCTTAATAGGATACGAAAATATTTTACAAGCAAATATGATTTTTTACAAACAGCGAATAACACAAATTCATTAACTCAGCGAAAATTAATACTCCCAGAAGCATATAAACTCTTTGTAATTATGTAATTATGTTATTTAATTTTTTAATGATACAATAAACGCGCCCGGAAAATAAATCGATTGACAGCTCCGATGTACATTGCCGAGTGTTTTTCTCTCTCTCTCTTGTTTCGTTTACCGAATAAATATACTTCACTCCATTCGAACATGACGATTTCAAATATATAGGGAGCAGTCGGGGGAAACTGTTGTAAATTACATGAATATGTAATACGATTCAAATATTATCGCGAAACGTGACTGGAGCTCGCATTAATCTAATTTTCCCTATGTAAATAAACTCGCAGAAAGCAATACGTATGGTATCTATCTCGCGCGCGCATCATCAATATGCACAATTACGCGGCTACATAGACCGATCTGACGCGAGAGAAAATTTGTTATCGCACCGAATGCCGTTAAATTCCGGGCGCGCGTTATTAATCCATCGATCGTTATTAAAGCATCGTCGGGGCGAGAAATTTATTTTCGCGTCGGCCGTAACTGACATGACGTAACAACTCGCGCATCCAATTTTTATACTCGAGATAAGAGGTTCGGTACATTATAAAATCCCTCTCAAGATATTCTTGAGTGTTTGCAAAAATTAAAATAAATAAAAATAAGAATGAAGAAAAAATTATGAGTTTTTTTTATATAAAAAAAATATATAAATTAATGGAATTATAATATAGTAATTTCAATATCAAAAATTTAAAAAATTAATCTAATAATAAAAAATTGAATTCTAAATGGAATTCGAGAATTTGATAAAGGATCGAATCCACATTCAAAAGGGGGATGTTTTTTCTCGATTTTGTAAAGATTTAATTGAAATTAAGAAATTTAATAATATAACTAGAAGAGATATAATAATAAATATAAAAAAGATAAAAACGTCCGTCAAAATTAAGATTATATTTCTTTGATAATAAACAGTTTTTTTTTTCGAACCGTTCATCTGACGTCATATAATCATATTTTTGCAGTAAAACGTATATATAATTATATAATGTTGCAATTTATAATAGTGCAGTGCAGTGTTGGTCTCTACATGGTTTTAATTTATTAGGAGAATGGATGAAGTTAATCAGTGGCTCGAAAAACGAGACTTAGCGACTTAAGCGACTCACGAGTAAATAACGTGTAACGACATAATTTAATTTAATCGTTCAGCAGTCAGGTCTCGTACGGTTTATACATATATACTATGCTTTCTTTACGGTCTTATTTTTTGCCTGTATGCGCTGTAAAATAATGTAATTTTTTATTAATGTAAAAATAAATCCCATCGCGTCTACATTTTGATAAGTTAAGAATATTTATTTTTAATCTTTAGAGGACTCTCTTCTCAAGGTAATCCTCTTTTAGAGAATAAAGTATTGTAAGTATAAGTGAAAAATTCTCGAAAAGAGACTACAAATTTTTTTCAGCCAGGAAAATAAACCCGCGGTTTATTTTCGCCAAGATAATGGATTTAGAAAAACGTCGTGATTGATTTGCTTCCAACATAATCGGGAGGTAAAGTTTTACATACGTGACGCATATATCTCGTCACAAGTGCATGATGAGATGAGATGATGATACATGAAATTTACGTAATGATAATTCATCATTGCGCTTATCGTAAATGTGCTCCGGGTTGTACATCATTGTTAACGGAGGAACGTCAGAGAGAGTTTTCCTTTTAATAGATTGCATCGGCTTTTGGGTAACACGATGTGTTTGCATTTTACGCGAATCGCATTACCATAATCGAGACAGATCGTGCGGAATCTTTCGGAAAAGTTACGGGATTTTATCCTTGGGAGAGAGAAACGTTGATGGTACACAATCCCCGGAATTAACGAACGTACACGTATAGTAACTGTCCTCGTTCTCCTTCTCTCTCTTGAACTTTCGACTTTTATTCCTATACATCTTTATTTCGCGCAAACTTTCCTTGGGATTTTCAACTTTTAATTAACACGCGCCAAATACTAAATTTAATGCTTTCTTCGAAATTCTTCGCGAGGAAAGATTCGCTCCTTTTTTGCGTAGCGGAAAAGTAATTGAATGATAACACATTTAATAACTTCAAGACTATATATAATTATCTCAATTCTCTTTATAACAAACTTGAATTAGACATATGATCGAGAATGATTTAATTGCAGGTAAGGAACGTTTTCAGTTATATAGAAATAATCTGTTCAATGTTTCAAATATATAGTAATGACACACGTAAATATATACATAGATATACGTTTAGTGAATTATCAGCAAACAGTTTAACGCGGCTAATGGACATTCCAATTAATTATTGATTTATTCGCGTGTATTAATGGAACTTGATGCAATAATACGATATATATATTATATAACCCATTCAATCGCTGA